TGGAAAGTAAGCACGTCGTTTTATGACAAATGACAATACGATATTTTCAATTTTGATGTGTGCGCGCGTCGTCCGCAGTTGGTCAAGATGTATTAAACGTTAAAAATGAACAACGCCACGAGCCTCACCATGTTATAAGTATACCGCAGAATATTAATTTAAATTGTCTGTGGTTAATGGTTATACCCCATCGTAACAGTTTCGATAAGCTGCAAGTAAAACAAATAATGTATAGGTAATACTGGTAAATACAGGTAATAAGTATACCTTGTATTTTCGTGTTTCTAATATTTCGTTTGAACGAAGAAAAAAATTTCTTGAAATGCAAAATTAACACGATATTGAGTATAGAACGACGACATTATTGATTAACTTTGACGTACAAGAGTACAAGACATACGTAAGTATGTACTGCAGTAAGATATAATATCTAATTATTGAAAGAACGACAGCGCACTATTTCTTTTCTCTCCACGTCCCACACGCTGCATAGGAAATTTGCTTATTAGCAGAACCAAAAAGCGACCGTGTTGTTAGCGTCATAGTAGTCAAACGGATTGACCTATTAAGAGACAATTTAAAGTTGGGAACACCATCTGTTTTTGTAGTGTTGGCTTTTTTTATACAATATTTCAATTTTAAAGGAGAATAAATAAGATATTATCATATGATATAAATTTTAAAATATTTTAATTCTTATCGTGTTATGTATAAATATTTGAAATTTTAAACTTTTGCAAAATTTGTTTCAAATTATGTAATTTAATATTTTTATCTTGAATACAAATACAAAATTACTACAATTTTTTTTTTTTTTTAAGTAACACGATATCCTGATGTTGATACTTTATTACTACTTCTATGGAGTACATCTGTCTAAAAATCTTGGATACAGACAAACTTCACGGATGTGGTATCTATTCAATAACCAACACATGAATCTTTCTAATCCTAAACCATATCCACCATGAGGGCATGATCCAAATTTCCTCTAAATTAAAAATAATGTTTTAGTTAAACTTCAATATTACAATATTCTACAATGTTAAAATCAGAAAAATATTTTTGTTATTCTAAGTTTTAATCATGTCATTATTAGTATAATATTTACAAACCTGATCAGTATACCAGTAATATGGTTTTGGGTCGATTCCGACCTTCTTATAACCTGCCAATAACTCTTCCTGATCCCAAATACGCATTGAACCACCAACAATTTCACCAACACCCGGTAATAATACATCCACCTGAAAAATATTAAATATTTTAGTTAATAATCATATTTATTATACCTAATTATACTAACAGATTCAGTAAGAGTATTATCTTCTGGACATCGAGACATATAGAACGATTTGATTTCAGCAGGAAATCTGCACAACATAATTGGCTGATTAATTAAATCCGTCATTTTTCTTTCTGCCATTTCCGGAATGTCCTAAATAAGTATTAAGACTAATAAGTTACAAATTAAAATTATAAAAATTTAAACTAAATAGTACACACAAAATTACCTCTCCAAATTCATAAAATGAATTATCTTCCTTGGTTATGTTGTTTTCTCGCAAAAATGTAATGGCCGCTTTATAATCCATTCTCTTAAACGGTCTATTCGGTACAGCAAATTCCTAAAAAATCATATTTTACAATAAATCCAATTTTAGTTTATTTTATTATTTAATTAAAATGAACCATTAATTATAATAACAATATAATATATTACAGAATCAAGAAGTTATAAATAAAGTTAATTATGAGATTAGTTTAATTTATTAAAGCAATTAGGCATTTTATTTTACATTATGGAAAAAATAATGAATGTATTGGTTTCAAATTAATGTGCTTTCCCTTTTTTATATTTATGCCTCAGTTCATTTTTGAAGCAAACAATCTGCCTCAATTTTCAACTTCGCAGGTCACAAGTAAAAATTTACCAAAATTTATAATCAGAAAAAATAAAAACTACAAAAGAAAAGAATCTATACACTTTTACTCAATATTTGTATTAGAATTTACTTAATATAATCCATACAATATTTACCCATCCAAATATTTTGTATCTATTATCATATGGATACATGAAAATTTTAAATATTTTTATTTTTTTTTATATTTCTTAGTATATCAGTTAGCTGCAATAAGGAGATCAGTTGACATGTACAAAAAAGTTTATTTTCATACAAGACAGAGCATATTGTTTAGTATGTGTTTCAATATAAATATAATAATTCAAGGTCTAAAAACTTACTGGATTTAATTGTTTTACAATATCTGCATGTGGCGACTCTAAAACACGTCTCACTACATCACAAATCATATCCTCGATTCGATCTAATAAATCATCAAAGGTAATAAATGCAAATTCAGCTTCTACATGAGTATATCTAAAATAAAAGTTATAATAATTCTGTTAAATAGCAAAATGAAGAGCTCAAATTTGATAAACATCTTACTCAGATAAATGTCTTCTTGTACGACTCTGTTCAGCACGATAACTTTGTGCCATACAAAATACATCACCGAGAGCTGGTAAACAAGTTTCTAAATAAAGCTGAGAACTTTGAGTCAAATATGCTTCTTGTCTAAACATTAAATATTTTTAAAGTTTATAATATAATATAATATTATACTATCATAAAAATATTTTTACCCAAAGTAATCCAATTTAAACAATGTAGACCCGCCTTCCACTTGAGTCTGTACTAATGTTGGAGGTACAACTTCAATGCAGCCTCTATCTAGATTATGCATGCGGAATGCTTGAGTAACAACTGATCTCATTAACAAAATTTTGGATGTCTAAAAATACGATATAATAAAATCTTAAAGCATAATATAAAATCAATCATTAATTAAAAGTTTACATTTTCTCCGCGAATGGCAATATGCCTATTGTCTAATAACACATCTGGATGGGCATCTTCATTCAAAATAGAATCAGCACCGCCAGGTGGTGCTAATGTAACTAATTCCCAATAATCAACTTGAAGTTCATGTCCTCCTGGTGCCTATTTAACATAAAAAAAGATTTAACATTTTAAACCTGAATACATTTTAGTTTAACTAATTCTTACAGATTTTCCTTCAGGAACTTCTTTCAAAACTCCAAAAAGAAGAACAGATGATTCAGTTGATAACATTAAAGCATTAAAGGTTTGACATAATGTGTCATTAAGAACAGTTTGTATAAATCCTGTGCCATCTCTTAATGTGATAAACATTAAGGATTTTCCTGAAAAAAATTACTAATTACAGCAAGGTATTTATCTAAATGTTTTGATTCAAAACTTGCGATATTATTTAACTTTAAATCTATTATAGTCAAGAAATTAAAAACAATCATTTAACCTTAAGACTATAAAAATCTAAAATACCTTGTCTTCTAAGTCTATGTACCCATCCATACATTTTAACCCTTGAATTTCGATGTTCAGAAGCATTCTTTATTTTGATCAAAGTTGCCGGTGGTAAAGTTGAATCTTCAGATAATGTTATTTTTTTTGCTTCTTCTAAATTTTTATTTCTTTTAAGAGCGTCTTCTTCTTCTTTTTTGGCTTTTTCTACATTTTTATGATGTTCCCTAACCCAAAATTTTTGATTTTTCTTAAGTTGGGTTTTAGGAGCAGGTTCAAATTTCTGAGAAATACATATAATTTAGTCGGTATATTGCTTAAAATCATAATATGCACATGGTTATTAACCAATGCATCAAAATTATTATATGAATAGTGTATTTATTACATACAATGCCTTCAGTTTTAGAATCTACATAAATCACTGGAAATGGTTCTTTTCCAGCATGTTTCATGGCCTGCAATATGGTCTTAAAAGGTTTTGACTCCGTGCCATCTCCAGATGTATCATTACCATGCTTTTCAGACGTGTAAAGTTCACCTAAAATATCCATTAATAAAATTATATGTTATATAAATATATACAGATATATTCAAAACTATAAATTGCTTTTTATAATTTTTTTGAACCTAAAATCGTCAGTATGAATTCAAAACCCCTTTGTAGTACACAATGAGTAGAATTTAATTATAAATAAAAATAAAGAATTATTTAATATTTCTATGGGTACAACAGCATGATATAAAAAACTAAGATATGGTATAGTACCATTATTATCTATTGCAGGGACAGACTGGGTATCGAGGGGTCCTGAGGGTTAATCAACTAGACCTATTACTATCACATTTTAATTAATAAATATTTTTAGTTAATAGTGCACAATTAATTTTCATTCATTTGAAAATAAATGTTGTTTTACTATTACATTTTATACTTAAATATGTACAATTTTTATTAATTGACACTATCAAGAGCCCGGGAGGTGATTGCCCTTTTACCTCCTTGGCCAGTCCGCCCCTGATATGTTGTATATAATGATAGTAATTCAATATTTATATAACCGACAATTGTCTTTTAATTACCAATAGAGAGTTTCTCCACAGCACCGACAGTATCTTCAGACATGATATTGTTATGTTAACCAAATTCTGATGTTCAGTCACGAGTTGCGGTTTCTGCAGTTCTGCTTTAAAATACTAAGTAATTACTATTTACTAAATACTAAAATAGTATAAAGGTAAGCTCCACGTCGCCTCGGATGATCAAGATTCAAAACAATCAAAACTGATGAGTGATCACTGTTCAGTGACGTTTGATCGCTCTTTTATAGACTCGTGTTGTGTGTTACTGTTTCGGTCGAGTTAATGATAATACTGATAATGTTATCTATATGCCATAGTTAGGTAAATCCACGCTACTCAATTTACTATCAGCACAGAATTTGTGTATAGTAATAAACTAATAAATACTAAATAGTAAATAGTGAATACTATAGAGTATAGACATATTAGACATTATAGGATAAGTTCCTTAAGTACATACTACACGACTGCCCAGTTGTAATTACAGCAAAGAAAAATTATTTGCGTTATTTGCAATTTTTAAAAATCTATTTTCATTTTGGTAATTTAACAATGAAATTTGTTGAAATTTATTTAAAATATTAATAGCAATCTTCGTTTAAATTTTATAATTTATTGTTTGTAATTATTTTTTTCTGGAATAATATGCTACAACAGTAATACACAATTTTGAATTATGAGTAAAAAAAACAATCTGTCAATAATTTCGATATCGGTATTTATTTACAGATAATTATTTAAAAAAATTTAATTTTTATAATCAGAGTATTATTGTATATTATCTAAAATGTCAGAAAACTACAAAATACAGGTAAATAATGTCATGCATCCTACTGTGTGAGTGTCATGTTACAATAATAATAATTACTACTTATTGCCAATTCGATTTTTCAGTTGAAGCAAGTAGAACAAGCTATTGAACACACCAAGAATATAGACCAATTAAATGAATTATTGTCATTACGAGATAGTTTGGTTGAGCTTATAGCACTGACTAGTGAAGCTTGTGAACCAGAGCAAACCACTCAAAATCCATTAGATGAAGAATATGCTCTATTTAAGGTAATATCTATTCAATTAATTTTAATATTTAAGTTAATCAGCAAAAATGATTTAGTCAGAAATTGAAACCATTGATGAAACACAAAATAAGAACTATGATGAAGATGATACGTCATCCTGTGAAATTTTAAATATATCTAAAAATAAAAAAGTATGTCATTTTGAGTTACCTATTATAATATAATTATAATGTCTTTTAACTTATAAGTTTTAAGTAAATATTTTCATTCTTAGAAATCGCAATAACAATAAATAAATAATTTAACTGGAACCAGTAAACATAACTTATCTCATTTTGACTTTTCTTTGAAGGATTTGGTACCTTACAATATAGCTAATTTGTTTTCAGCAATTTAAATTTTATATAGTAATTGTTAAAGTGAATTGACCTATTATCAAACTTAGGCTAAAACAATAATTTATTTATTTACTAGTTTATTAGTTATTAAAAATATATCCTTGTTTTGATTTTTATGGTATATTAATTTTATAAGGATTTACAATTGAATAAATTAAATTTTTATGTTTTACACACTCCTAATATCTTTAAAAATTAAAATATCACAAAAAAAAAAAAAACCATTTTATTATCATACAGATAATATTCTTACCTTTAACTTTAATAATTTAAAATCAATTCACCTTTTTACCAAAGGTTGCTACACAAAATTAAAATTGCTGGTAATAAATTTGCTATGTTGTATATTTTTAAGGCAAACACATGGAAATATGAAATTAATTGATTTTAAATAATTTTACTTACTTTTTGATACTATTTATGTAATTGCATGTATAATAACTATTAAAACAATACATTTAATTAGAAATTAATGGATTTTGTTTTCAGGTAAAAGATTGTCATTCATCCAGTACAATTGAAATAGATTCAGATAGTGATAATACAAACTCTTGTCAAATGATTGATGAAGATCACGAAACTGCTGGAATTGAAGTAAATTTATTTACATTATTTATTAATTCATTGATAACATTTTTGATTTGTTAGAATGAATTGGCTAATTTACAAGGATCTAAGTGTCAAGCTCCATTTGAAACAGATTATGATGTGTCAACATATCATAATGCACTCATTATGTCTGTTAAAGTGAATGATTCAACAGATCAACAATCATTAGATGATATATTGGTAAAATTTTTCAAATAGTAACAATGCATTTTAAAATTTTTAATCTATCAAAATTATATTTTATTAGGTAACTGTATTATATACAAATCCAATATGTAAACAAATGTTACCTTGTCAATTTTTTTTAAGTGGTGAATGCAAATATTCTGATGATAGATGTTATTTTTCACATGGAACTGAAGTTCCTTTATCACGTCTCACAGAATTTAAGTAATGTGATATACAAGTTTATAATTTAATTATGTTTGCTGATATGTATTTATTTTTTTCTTTATGTATAGAGAACCAGATTTTAAAAATTTAAAAGTAGGAAGTCTAGTATTAGCAAAATCATGTGAAGGTGGACTTTGGTCTAGAGCCATTGTATTAGATATCACTCATGGCACATCAAATAATGATGGAAGTTGTATTATTAAATATGAAACTAAAGGACTTGGGGAAATAGAAGTTCCAATGCAAAATATTTTTCCTTTGATTGGGAATGGTATTATCATATTTAAATGAAAGTGGAATAAAATATATTTACTTATGCATTTATAGATGAAGAATTTTACGAATTGTCATCCGATAGTGATGAAGAAAGTAAAATTAAAGAACGTGATTCAGCAATAGTTAATAATGTGCTATTAAGTACAGAAACTATTCAATCACTTGGAAGTTGGGAAAAACACACAAAAGTATATTTTTTAATTACATAATTATAATTATGACAAGAAAATAATTTTCTGTCCTTACTTAGAGCTAAACAAGTTTTTTTTTTACAATTTGTTTAAACAGGTACTTACCTGTTTGCACAGAATACAATTTAAGGTGTAATATACAAATAATTTGTAAACTTTTTTTTTTAGGGTATTGGTTCAAAATTAATGGCTAAAATGGGATATATAATGGGTGCTGGATTGGGTAAAAACGGAGAAGGACGAATTAACCCTGTGGAAGCAATAGTTTTACCAAAAGGAAAATCATTGGGTAAATAGACATAATAATTAATTTTAATAAGCTTTTAAATTATTTTTTTCATTTCTTACAGATCACTGCATGTCTATCAAAAATACTGAACAAATTCAAGAAGCACGTAAAAAACATAAACAACAACTGAGACTTGAAAGATGTATGAAGAAATCTTATGAGAAATCATTAGAAAAGCCTCCTGATGTTTTCACGTTTCTCAACAATAAACTCAGTAATTGGATCAAATACAAGTATGTGACCATTTCATTTTATAATTTATTTGTTTTTTTGTTATAGATATCAAAAACATTAATCAAGATAAAAATGTAATAGATGAGAAAAAATTAAAAAGTTCTACAATACATGACTTAAATGTTAGAAGTTTAAAAATAGAAGAAGATATTAAACGACAACAAATAAGTATTCAAGAGTTAAGTTATTCATTGAACCGAAGTGCATCTGGGTCAGTGCAGTATAATGTGGTCAATCAAAAATTGATCGAAGCTAATAATCAACTCTCACACTTGAAAGCTGAAGAAAAGTCTATACAAAAAGAACATACAAACAGAGAAACTCACAAAAAAATGACTGTGTTTTAGTGAATATTAACTAGGATGTTCAAAATTCTAAAATTGTTGAAAAAAAGTTAAGTTTATATTTTTAGAAGTAACTAAAAAGAAATTTAATATTATAAATTAAGTATTCAAGTTAAGTAGAATATATAAAAACACATGTACGAAATGTATATAGTTGGGAGTGTAATATATGATTATACGTTGAATTTTTTTTTTTTTTTTTTGTTTAATTATGTCCTAATTGCTTTAGATGTATGGATTGTGATGGATTTTGGGAGCCATTTTTACTGTTAGAATTATTTTGGTTTGTTTTCATATGATACTTTGTGCATTTTATAAATAACTACCACATTATCCATAACATACTTAAATTTGGGCATGGTGTGAGTAATTTTTTGACTGCAGACATAGCAACATCTGATAGTGTTGCAGTCAAGAGCCGTTTGGTGTAGCTAACTCTTGGATGGATGGCCATCCAGGTTCTTAGTGACAAAATCATGTCCCATAATCAAAAACACGTGTTTCATAAACTATATCAGTAAAAAACATAAAATCTCATAGCTAATGGCCCAAATTGTTAGAATTTAATTTAAAATATTACTGATAGTATTTAATAGCATTCATAATCAACTATTGTTGATCACAATACTAAGTATTGACTTAAAAATTAAAAAATCAATATAATTATGTGTAACTTGCAAAAAAAATATTACTATATTTAAACTAACAACTATTGAGCTATAACATATCTAAAAATTTTTTAAATTTAATTTTTGATTGAAATTCTTCACATTGTTTCAATTTATTCAAAACATTTCGAACACATTCAGGTCTTGCTGCTTCTAATGTTTTAATACATTCTACAATTACTAAAATATTTTTTTCATTGGGCTCCATAGAATTTTTATCTTCATTGTACAGAGCTTTGATCAATATTAATAGCAACACATTCCAATGTGTACATCGCCTTGGCCACGTTTGTTGTATAAATACTTCAATTGCCTAAAGATAAATTATACAATGTAAATAAATTTAGTGAGAGTAACGTTTGAGTTCAATACACCTACTTTCACTGTAGAAAAAGTAGATTGACTGTTCATAACGTATTCTGTAAATAATGGTATCAAACGCTCCGACCAACGAATGCAAGAAAATCCAGTGGACTCCAAAACAAGCGGAAAAATTGATGCATAACATACAATTGGCTCATGTTTACGTTCCAGTTCCATTCGTGGCAATAAAATGTTCATAACATCATCAAACTTTGTCCACTAAAAATTATATCATTCATACGATTAAAAATAAAACATGATTTCTATAATAACATAAATCATTTACTTCTAAAGAATTTTTGTTACTCAAATGTTTCATTTGCATTTTTGAAATTAGCGATAAAAGGCACTTCATCACATTAGGTATTAGTTGATATTCAAACGAACGCAAACCAGTTTCTAATGACTTTAATAGAACAATATCATAGCCACTCATTGTTAATTCAACAGACGGCTAAAGACAAATAAAGTAAAGTACCTGAATTACATTTTCAAAGTAGTTGCATTATTTCAAAGCACAAAGTAACGGTATAATTTATAATACTAGGCATAATAAATAAACTAAAACTTATACTAACTGTATTATCAATGATATGATGAAAAGCATCTAAAGCGGTAAGTATACTTGAATCTTGGTAATCATCAAACATATTTAATGGTAATGGCATCACCAAGTATAATATAGAATTTAAAAATGGCATCTAGAACATAAAGAGTATGTTGTAAATTTTACTAAAGAAAACCCTTTACCTACATATATTACAAAAGTTCACTATGATAAATTTTCATTCAAAGAATTTCATTTCTAATTGGTTTTGATATTATAGTGAAATTAACTACAGTAAAATTTAAAAGTAAGATTATTATCTAGGATGTCAGCAGCCTTTTAGTGAGAAATGATAATTATGTTTTAAGGAAAGTAATGATTATTTTTAAAATTACACCATTTTATACAACTAAATATATGTCATTTTAAAATTTAAAAGTCTATAGCATGTTCTAGGTAATATTATTACTTCATATTTTAAAATAAAACAATTCACCTTTAAATTAAAATAAATGAAATAAATTTTTCAAGTGCGTTGTAGGATAGAGACAACATAATATGCTGTTGTACCATCCTTTTAAATTATCAAAAATGTATTTACTGTATTAAGTATTGTTTTTTATAACGTTAACTTACTTTTAAGTATTTTAATATCCATATAAAACACTCAACAGCAGCTGGATATTTTTTCCATTTATCATTTTCTAGTTTACATTGCAAACCAAAAAAAATCTTAGAAACGTCTAAATGAGTAATTAATTCATCAATGTTTATGTAATGCATGAGACTACACAATTTTTCAATACACAATTTCATTAATGTATGGCTTTCTTCATCACTCCACAGTAAATCTGATTTGCAATGTTCGCCACATAGATATAAACATGGGTATATTATATCCTGAAGCTTAATTTGAAGGTCTACATCATTATTTAAGAATTTACTTAACAAAATGTTAAGTTTATTTAAAATCGATTTTGCTAAATTTAAATGAGCCAATAATGCTTCATCGCGATCAGCCAAATGATTTTCATCAGCTGATACTTCTGGTGCACACCCACTTTGTATACATTTAATAATCTGCTCAAGATTTAATTCATTATTTATATCAGTGTTTAATGCCATTTTGTAATTTTACCTGAAGTGCAAATTAAAAATAAATAAATAAATCATTGTTTAAAACATTATAAAATATTTAGAAATATAAATTTTATTCAATAATTTTAGGATTACTTAACATAGAAATTTAAATACTAATTTACAATAATATTCAAAATGTATTTATATTTTTTATCAATAGTTAAAGTTGTAACTCAAACTCGCCAATTCCCTGTTCATTAATACTAAATTTATAACAAAGATTTAAATTTTTTCTTGTTACAGTTGCATAAAAATCGGAATCCAATCTTTTGAATTCAATTTTACGATTTACACAATCTAATAAAGAATCACTTTTTTTAGACTGAAAATAACTTTGTCTAGTAAATATAATAGGTACTTTAAAATCTTCCAAACAAATTTTCAATGATGATATCATTTTCTCTACATATGTATCTATATACTTTTCACCACCAGATACTGAATCTTGCCAATAGTTTGCAGAAACACTATCCAAAATAACTAACCCCACTTGAGACTGTTCAGTAAGAAATAGTTTTAATCTTTGAAATGTAACATACAAAGTTGGACTATCAAAACAATTGATCAAAGTTAATTTATTTAGACAGAACTTCAATAATTTATCATCAATATTTTTAATTAAACGCTTAATGATTTTAACTAGCTTGGTGATACTGAATTGTCCATCTAGATCAATGTAGACAACACCTGTATCCAAGCCATTAAAATTTTGAGGAGTTATGCATTTAGCAACACATTCAGTCAAGAATAAAGTTTTTCCTGTTGATGCATTTCCAATTAGTTCTATGGTTTCACTAGTCAACTCATCTGGTAATAAAGGTGATAAATTTTTAATAATCGGTCGTGCTACAAGTCTTTCTAAAAGTTGTAATCCAGATTCGGCTTGAGATTTAAATTCCATAATTACCTTATTCTCAAGAAATTTTTGGACTACTTAGAGCCAAGTTGAGTTTTAAATCGGTCAATGACTTTTCACCATGTTTGAGTAAAATTTTTATAGAATACTGAAAAAAAAACAATTGTTTTATTAAATTAACAAAGTCAATAAATATAAATAATATATTTTAGTAAATAAAATAATTTTTATACCAAAATAAAATAATAATAATTATTTTTTATAAACGTTGTTCATTGATACAAATAAAATTATATACAAAAATTGATTTTAAAAAAAGAACAAATTGTGAAAAATATAAATTGCTTATAATTTTAATTAATGCCAATTATGCAATTTGTAAATGTATACAATGCTCAATTGTAGACTTAAGTATATAAATAAGCCCTTTTATATTAAAAACAACAATGGACATTACTACATCTAGTATGATAAAAATAATAAAATATTATAAATATTGTTTAATTATTGTAATGTCTTGTAAAAATGAAAAGTAATAAAAATATTATATTTACATGTTAGCTCAACTTATGGTAAACAGTTAGCTATCAATTAAATACAGATTTAAAATAATTAAACTAAAAGTTTAATATTTTGTTTTTAAATTTAATTTAAAATAAACTAGAACAAACCTCATCAGTTTCAAATTTATTTTTTTTGAAATCTTCTTTTACCCAATTATAAAATTGCTGTCTATCACTTTCTAATGGTATATTCTTAATTGTTTTTAAAAATTCTCTATATAACCTTAGAGTTTTCTGACGTTGCATAAACTAGAATATAAAAATACATAACAATATAATAGACAAACCTTTAATATACTGTTAAGGACTTAGGTCTTATATTAAGAATAAGTAATTAGATGATAAGTAAATAAGTAAATCGAATAACAAAATCATTAAAACAGTGCTAGGTAGTAATATAATAGAAGTAACATGTTACATAATTTCATTAGAATTATTTCCAAGTAACAAAAATGAAATGGAAGTAACGTTTGATAAGAAATACTTTTTTATTTGAATAGTTAGGTAATTTCAGTATAATTTAATTTGAGTAAGTAACAATTTAAGTAACTTCCTCAACACTGCATTAAAACTACATTTTAAATTATATTTTAGGAACCAAGACTTTTCTCAGTTTTAGGAAATACATAACAAAATTTTCAAATTCATGCATGCAAACAAAGGTGTTTAGTGATAGCACTGATGTGTATTCATTTTTAAATGAGATAGTTATTATTGGATAAGTCTTGTTTGGGACACACGATCACGTAAATAATTTGGTATGTTCAGTATTTACTCACCTGTTTCAAGTTTAGCGCTTTATTGATCATATTTTATAAGAATTTAATAGTATTAAGTTGACCATACATTAAAATATACTTACGTAATATTAATATGTGAATAAACTTTAGACTTAAGTTCAAAAAAGTTGTATTATTTACAAAAAATTGAAAAAAATTGAAAAAAAATGAAATCTGCAACAGTGCAATATTTAATAGGTAACTGTTAACAATAGAAATAAGAACATTATTTTAATTGCTCGTTATAATCATTTTAGTCACTGATAAACTTCCGAGACCGTGTTGATATCATAGAACGGTATAGATAAAGGTAGGTACTGATATTAGACATAGCCTTGCCAATGGCTTGAAAAAAAAATATGCTTTAAAGTACGTTGGGGTAACGTGACGAGAATTGTATAATTTTAAATTTTTTCGAAAAACTCATTACAAGTCAAATCAAAATTTATTTTACAGACGACTATCAGTCTATTAACAGCCGGGACACCAAGACATGCTGTTAAAATCGGAACGAATAGCAAGTTCAACTATATTAGTCTATAACCACAGAATAGGCGCACATAGGGGGTACTAGGGGGTGCTTAGCATCTCAATAGTACCTATAACACAACAGTATAGCATTGACAAGAGTCAATATTCAGTATAGGGATTTAAAATGGATTTATCTTGTCAAAATGTATTATAGTTAAAAATTTAAAAGATGTAATAGGTATAGAAAAAAAACGAATAATTAAATTAAGTAAAACCATATAAATTACGGGATGCCACCATTAGGTGACTTACCCCTCCTGCCAATCAAATTTCATCCAATCAACTTATAGTTTAACGTCATGTTAATACAAATTGTAAATATATTAAGTTTGTTTAAATAAAAATTAAATAAAACCATGTAAAAGTAAGGATGTATTAATTACGATAAATCGTTATCACAATATTAAAATAAAATGTAATAAAATAAATACGACATTGTAAACGGCTAATTTTTGGCGAGTGATTAGAGATTAGACATTAGATTAGACCCACAGTTTTAAAAGTCGCTAAAGCTTTAAGCTGTTAACTTTTCATAAGCTTGTGAATCGTGCGAAATTCGAGAAAAGACAATTTTAAATATTGCCAGAGAAATCCTTAATAATTAATATCCTTTAAAATTAGTAGATGGCGCCTGTTGAGAATTAACTACAGGGCACAGCGCACAGCTACTGTGCACGATGCGCTTTTATAGACATTATGCTCGGCGCGCGCGCGCTTTGCGATGATAATCGAATATTCGAATGTCGATTGATACTAGAGTCTAGAATACAAAATAAATTTAGTTTTATGTTATTGGTTTTTTGAAATTTGTAAATATTACGTCTTACGTGCCATTAAAACACGTTTTGCAAACAATATCCATTCGAAAATCAAATACGTCTGTCGTTATAATTCGTAAATCGTTCATGAAAACAGTGCAGATAACGTATCCAAGGTAGTATTTTATTGATTTTTAGTCATCTCGTTAGGTGGCCATTGAAACGACAAAATAAACAAACTGCACATACACGAAAGAATTATACATTTTGAATAATATACCAACGCCAATAATAAAATTAAATTTGAATTATTTGATTGCACCTCGTAGATACTCTAGTAGATTTTTGGATATCAATATATTATTGTAAGATTGCACACCTTAACAACCTCAGTCAAAATGAAGAAAATGTTAAAATTGGTGAAAGGGGGAAAAAAGGAAGATAAAAGTGGCTCTGGTACGCCATCGGGTGATGAACTAGAAGACGACCCAGAGAGTGCTATTTTTTGCTATAAAATTGATTCTGAAACTGAAGAAAAAATGAGCCGATTACACAGAGCTTCGTGGAATGGCAGCCTAGAGAAAGTCAAAACGTTACTGCAAAAAAAACCAATGGATGTGAACACTGTGGACAGCTTTGACAGAACACCATTACACTTGGCGATGGCCAAAGGTTACTATAACATTGCTTGGGTGCTGTTAAATCATAATGCTAGCTTAGATTATGTTGATTGTGATGGGTACACACCGTTCTTGAAGGTATCACTGTTTTGAATTTGGTGGTAGTTTGTAGTTTTTACTTAACAATGACTTTGAAGAACCAAATATTCATGTGAAAGGAATATATAGAATAAATTATTCATTCAATTTCACCTTATTCCAGTTACCCCTGTGGTTATAATTGAGTTAAAAAACTAAAATTAAAAATTGAAAAATATGTATTATAAAGATAATATCTGTTATGCTTCAAAATTGCTTAAAAATAAATAAATAAAAATTAAATTTATACAGTCTTATAAATTTATTATTGTTTCATGTTGATCATATTAATTGATTCTTTGAAGTCATATAACTTATAATAACATTTTATCATCAGTAAATAATATGTATTATCTAAACACAATTTATATCTATCTACTAATTTTATAAATATAAGTAAAATAACAATGCACATGTAGGCTGTAGAATGCGGCCAAAAAGAATGTGTTCATTTAATGTTGGAGAGAGGGGCAGATGTAACATGCACAGACAAAAATAAAAATACTGCTTTACACTTAGCTGCAAAACAGGGCTCATTCACTATAATATCTATGCTACTTAAAAAAGGAATTAATATAAATGCACAGAATGCTGTAAGTATAATCTAACACAGCTTTTTTAGCACTAACAAAATGTTTTTCAAATAATATATTATGAACTATAAAGTTTTTATTATTATTCAAGAAACATTGAACCTACGTATATTAACTCAACCTTATTAATGCATCACCTAAGAAATTTCACCTTGTAAAGATTCTATTTTATTCTGTTATTTTTAATATTAGAGTTTCATGATATAACATTAAAAAAAATTTTTTATTATTTAGGGTAAAATGTTCTTAACAATTTATTAATGTGTTAAATAACAACAGTTTCCATGATTTTATTAAATTTAATTAACTACATATTTTTATATTTATTAACATTATCTTTTGGTTGTCATTTTTTATTAACTCGTTTAAATTATATTTCCATAACATTTGAGAAGTATCATTTCATTTGTATTTATATTTTAAAAATAATTTAAAAAATATTTTTAGGCAGGTGAATCCGTTCTTCATGTTGCATGTGCTGCTGAAAATCGTGATCTAATAGAGTTTATATTAGATAATGGATCACTAATAAACATAGCGGACAATCAAGGACGTACACCATTAATGGTGGTAGCGAAACTTGGAAATATGTCTATTGTAGACTTACTATTGGACCGAGGAAGTCAACTCGATGCTTGTGATATAAATGGTAATTAAATTAAAAATATTTAAGCATTATATGCTGTAATATTTTCAATTTTTGTTTTGGCTTAGGTCTATCAGTGAAAGATTATGCGACTAAAGAAGGTCATTATAAAGTAGTGAATCAACTATCTATGCAAAAAATGAGTATAATGGCCAGAACTAGATCTCAAGAAAATGTCTTAGATGATTTAGACCAGAATAATTGTCCTCAATCACAAAAAAATCATGATAATTCAAATGATCAAAATATTGTTGACGCTCAAATTATAAAACTTAAAAAAGAAGATAAAATATCAAAATCAAATGTTGAAGATAATCAAAGTCAAAAAGAATTTGTAACTGTTAATTCTATAGCTGAAAACAACGATTTAAAAGCTGATAAAATCGATGTTGAAGAGGTAGATAATAAAAAGGAAAATCTGACTTTAAACTGTGAAGTTAATCATCCTGATGAATTAAAAATAAATAATCAAAAGGAAAAGGAAAATTTAATTTCGAACTCTACTACGAAAAATGAAAATGAAAATAATAATAGTAGTTCAATAGAAACAGATAAAGAAGTAATTGAGAAAAATAAATTAACTGTTGAAATCAAAAATACATCTACAGTAAATGTTTTACCTATCAAAGATGAAGAATCAGTATCTCAATGCACAATGCCTCCACCATTAGATCCACCTAGAAGCTGGGATTTTATACAGACAAGTATAATACACACCACGGATGTCAATGAAAAAGCTGAAAAAGAAACCCAAGAAAATATTGAGCAAATTCCTGATCCAATTGTTTGTGCAGTAAACACAGATGATTCAGAATTGGAATGGGGAAGTGATGAAAGCCTTCCGACTGATCCAAATCAATTGTGTCCTATTGTAGATGATAAAAAAGAAGAAAATAAAAAAATGAATACATTTTATAATTTTATAACTACAAAATTAATAAACAAGACAAAAAATAGAGTTTCTGCATCTGCAGAAAATATCATTGATGAGAGTTCTACTAAAAAACATGTGAGAAATAAGTCTTTTACTTCACTTAGAACCTTTAAACTCACTGTTCCATCAGATGTAAACAAAGCATTATATCAGCTTAGTCCAGAGATGAACTTTGCACATTCTTCATTCAGTAAAAGCAAATCTTTTAATGAACATATACCTACGGAAAATGTTGAGAAAAATTCTTTAGAATTTGAGCGATCTAAGTCATTATGTTTGGATTTAAAACATAACTATAAAGTAACTGAGAATCAGCAGAGAGATTCAGATAGCCAAAGTGATGATAGTTTACGTTCAAAAAGAAGTCTTTTGTTATCTATGCGAATGCCTAAAGTTCATGATGAACATCATGACGACTATCATTTAGAAGTCAAAGATAGTGAAACATCTGAAGACGAAGGCCCACATTACTGGTACAGTCCAAATAAAAAAAATGATAAAATAGTGCAACAAGACACTGTTATTAGGAACTATAGTGAATCTGATAGCGAGTAAGTTTATACTTAAAAAATCACTATTATTATAATTTATTATTTTTAATAATAATAATTAAAAGGTTATATGTCAACATTTCTTCATGATATTTATTTTATTTTTTAAGTAACAGAATGAAATGCTAATGATTAAAATGTATATATGTTTGATTTAACTATTAGAAATTATTCAATAATTTTTTGCGTAAAAAGTATATAGTTAATTAATAAATTCCCTTGTGATTTTCAGATCTGAAGAAATCGGTTTACCAAAATCTAAGTCAAATCTTGGTAAATATTATAAATTTTTATGTATGTTTTATATAATTCATTTAATATAAGACTCATTATTTCAAAGTTTTTTTTAAATATACTTATCTATTACTAAAACATTTTCTTATACAGTTGTGAATTTGAGATAAAATGTTTAAAAAAGGAATTATTATGCACTTTCCTGTTTTATATTTTTTCTAATAACAGTCTTATACTAAATAAATCAGTGGACTCCGGGTGTAGGCCCCACCCCTGTAATTTAATTCTTTGTTAATAACACAGTTGAAATTTAAAATATTTTTATTTTAGCATATTTTAATCTCTCTTTTTCTTTCTCTCTTGAGGTCAATTTGCTGATTGGTTCATAACTTTTCTTTATTAATTTCTGTTCACTTTTTTTTTTTTAATCGTAAGTATAAATTACATCTTTACAATCTATCTTATATATTCAAGTCTAGATTTTTCTTTACGGTTTTACCTTTCAACAGTTCATTTTATGATTTCAATTTGATATTTTTGAAGCATGTGATAGTAACCTTAATGACACTAAATAATTATTTACATTTCTTTATCATTTGATAATTTTAAACTTTTGGCATGTCCATTTAGCACTTCTTTTATTTTATTTGACTACTTCTAGAATTTGTTTCTTCAACTTAATTTCAATTTTTCGTATTATTATTAAGTTTCCTTCATTTTTTGATTATTCTTATTCTTTCGTTCACCTGTTACCAACTTTTTTTTTTTTATGAAATTTATAATCTGTATATCATTGTGGTACAATGAGTAAATGTCATACAGGAAATGTATACATATAAGGTTTTAAAAACAAATAATCATTCAAAAGAAAAAAAAAACTAAAAAGTTTACAATTACTTGAATGTAATGTATAAATAATTTGTGGAAAGACTTTTGTTTGAAGGAAAATATTTTTTCTTTAGATGTCAAGCAAGTTATGACACCACCTTCGTTTTAATCTTCTTGGGGGGGAGGGTTACCGGGAATTATTGAAGTGGTGTGATTTATAGCAAGTGGATTGATATGAGATATCTCATGATGGCGAAAATGTTTGTATTATGATTTTAGCTACATCAAACACTAAAAGCATTTTGAGGTCTGAGTGAATAGTATGTCTTAGAGGCATGGGAAGGGGCATTTAGTAATGTACATTAGCTATTTTTGAAGTTTGTGTTTTGCTTATATTATACTTCTTTGTATTTCTCTAAAGTTACAGCTCATATTTTCACAAGAGTTTAATTAAGAATTTACAAATTATAAGTTTAGTATTGACTTGTGAACATCTGTTATTATTAATGAGGTTTTTTAGTTCTCCTAACCATGGATTTAAGTTTACTCTTTTAAATGTATTATACTAAGTCCAAGTCAGCCTTTTACCAAGAATTAGCCCAAAATATTTAGAATTCAGAACATTTTGAATTTGAATGCCATAAATAAAGATTTCACAGCAGGGAGCTAGTCTGAAGGTGAACATCTTATAGATAAATATCTTCAGCTTTTAAACCATTCTTCCATAATAATGGGGTGAGATTTTATATTGTTAGGGAAAGGTTACAGTGAATAAATAAGATTACTCTATTGTCTATGTAGTCAGCAACCATTGTATAAGGACTGTTACTAACCTAGGTAATATATTTAGCTTAGATTTATGTATATTGTATAAATATATAAATATTTTCACTATGACTTGATAAAATTATTTCAACAGATTATAAATTCATTTAAATTAATTGTATTACATATAGTTACACATTTTTACAAATGTTATTGTAAATACATGTTTTTATATTTTATACATTCATTCAGTGTTTGCTCATGTATTTAGACAAATTTTTGTCAATTTAAACTAATATACTATTATAGTTATTAACTTTTTTCTAGATTATATTCTATCAGCTGAAATACCAAATATCTTATTGAAATAACAATTAATTTTTATTGAGGATATGAAAAAGTTGGATGTACAACAAACTGTATTGCATGTTTAGTTTTTATTTATTGTTTACGCATGAGTAATCTAATATTTTTAATTTTTAAAATACTATAATGTAGTTATCTTTTTTTTAGATTAAAATTTTTAATGCAAGTCTCTAAAAGCCTATAGATTTAAAATATGATAAATAAACCATTTTAGTATATTCAAGAATAAATTGCATATTTTAAATCTTAACTTGTTTTTAAGTATATATTATTTTAGTAGTTTAAATATTAAATGCATTAAAATCCAAGTACTAAAGTTATCCCAATATGTGATTTACCAAAAAAATATTCAGTCCACCAATGAACTGTAGTCTACTGTAATTTTAATGAAAGTATAGTAAATTTATAAGTATAACACAAATTTTATTAAATTCAATAATTTAAAAATAAATAAATAATTATAAAAATTTAAATGAAATAAAAATATATTCAATTATTTTACAAGCTTTTAAAAAATGTAATTATAACCTACTCTACTAATGAAAATAACTTGTTATGATATACCAAAATATTAATAAACAAAATAAGCTGTTGTTACAATAACAGATGTTTTATAACACGAAAGTGGAGGATATAAAAATAAGTTATAATTAATTGAAAGATGTAAATATATAATATTATATAAGGTGGCTTAAAATAATAAATAATGCAATTAAAAACAACTTATAATGATGCTAATATCTCAGCTATAATAGAATCCTTTCCACGGTAGATCCATATTGGGAGACAACCCAATAATTAATATTTGTCATCATAATTTATATTATAATTTTAAATCTTTGATGATAAAAAAAAAAATTAATAGAAACAAGTTTGGACTCTTCCATACACACCACATACAATTCCTGGATGTGCCACTGAAATGAATTATTTTGTACAATATATAAAAACATAAACTGTGAAATAAAACATTTAAATACTTAACTGTATATAATTTTTTCTAATGAAATTTGACAGAAGGAATTTCTAAAGAACATAACACATCAGATAATTCTGACACAGAGAATACAATATCATTTTCAACTAGTCATGAAGATATTTATGGGACACATAAACGCACTAGATATGCTTTAAAAGTAGATTTTAAATAATTAATAATAATATATTAAACTAATATTATCCTTATTTAAAAAAAACTTAAACTTATTTTTTTTTTTAGAGAACTGAATCTCTAAAAGCTTACTTGAAGAGAGTAACTATTGATAAAGACAGATTACAACAAGAATCATCTGGATATAAAGAAATAACAGAGCTGTTAAAATATGAATTGGGAAATCTTAAACAAGATATTTCCACTAAAAATGAAACAACTAAGAGACTTGAAGAACAATTAGATCAGTTAGATGCTAAATATACAGAAGCTTTAAACACAATTCAAACACTTGAACTGTCTTCGAAAAATTTAGATAAAGAAAACCAATATCTCAAGAAAATAAATAAAGAAGTAACTAACAATAATATATAATATTGTAAAATTATAGTTAATGATACTATGACTAATGAATGTGATATCATTAAAAAGGTTCAAAATTCATGGATACTTGTATTCTTACCTACTGATTTCATATATTTGTAAAAATACAAGTATGCAAAGGCCATGGATACAAAACCATTTTAATGCTATAATATAAATATATTTTATTTAGATTTTATTTTTGTTGATAGCTCATGGACAAAATTAACAATGAATGCACTTATAATAGTGCACACAAATCAGTAGAAATAATAACTGTAAGTCTAATTAAATATATTTAAAAATATATACTGTCATTAAAGATTTCTTTTTTTAGCAACTTGAATCTGACAATCTTATTGATTATACTGATGATGTGAGTACAAAGGATAGCAAAACTATTGTAAGTGTTAAAATAGTTCTTACTATAAATGTATCCAAATTGCTTATATTTACAATGTATAAACTTAGTAATTAAAAACAAATTAAATATAATATTTATTTTTTTAAACATCATATTATATTACCATTTTATTTTTCTACAAACAATTTGCACTTAGTAAATTATGTTTTCTATAGATAAAACAACTACAAGAACAATTAAAACTTGAACAGGATAAACGGATAGAACTTGATGAACGTGTTAAACTTTTATCTATAGAAGTTAATGAACATCAGTCATGTAGTTCAAACGTAGAATTATTGAAAGAATTACAAAGCAAAATTTCTAAAGATTACATACCAAAAAAAGAAGTATTGAAACTAAAAACAGAACAAGAAAGAAAAATCAGTAAAGTGAAAATGGAAGCTGAAAAAAAATTAGCAGATAAATTTTGTGACCTTGATAAATTATTATCTCAGCAAGTGAGTGTCAATTTTAATGAATAAAAATTTATAAATTATAACTTTTTAACATATAAATTTTCTATATCAACAATTCATAGATGAATCAACATGGGAAATTAGAAATGCAAAGAGAAAAAATTGAAAACCAACTTAAACAGGAATTTGAAAATACAAGACAAAGATTTCAACTCGAAATTGCAAAACTTCAAACAACACTAAAAAGTGAGTTAGAAAAATACTATAATACATATTTAAAAAATTTATATAGATATTATTTTTATACAGCCAAAGAAATGGAGGAACAAATATTAAGGGAACGGTGTGAGATTCTTTCACAAGAAATTGAAAAAACCCAAGATATTAAATGGAAAACATTGGTGGACAAAACTTATAAAATAAATGATATGTGCGTATACAATTTTTAATTTATTTATGATTTATGTTTTAGTTCTATTATACTAAAAATTTTAATCATGATTCATTTTTAAAAAATTTGCATTTTCTTATGAATTGAATATTAAAAAAAGATTTGTACAAAAAAAAATTATCATATCAGAAAATAATTAATTAAAATTTATCAATTTATTAATAAAATGTATTAATTAAAATGAATATATTTATTCAAAAATGTACTTTGATTAAACTTTTTTAGTGGCTTGGTGTGGCGTGTTGGCTGCTGCCAGTCGTGGAATGCGACTGGGAGTAAGTAACGGCCATAGCTACTAGTTCTCGGATGGGTGACTACCCGGGCTTGTAGTGGTTAAAAACCTTGCCACACATACACATATTTACTATCAACCATAACAACCATAACAGTCGTAAAAACAACCTACCTGTACCAACCTTACCTCTACCCACAGTTCATAACTCCTACAACAGCTAATGGCCTTTGTAGCCAGGCTTAAGTTTAATTAAAACAAAAAAAAATAAATTTTTTTATAATCAAAATTCAATTTTAGACATAAAAGTTCACTCAATAAGTTATCAATGCTTTGTAAAACTCCAGAGCCAAGTCCCACTTTTGAAAAACAAGAATCAAGAGATGTTCCTTGGTATCAATACAATGACCAAACTCTTCGAAATGAACTGGATACAGTCATTACACAAAACATAAATGGTAAATATACTAATAATTTAATTTCTTTTCAAAAATAATTATCTTGTTCTCCCTATTTATGTTACATTATATAATAATTTATTTTTAATTTTTTTAAAGCTGCTTTAAAAGACGATGCTCAGGTTGATGAATACAAATAAGCAATATAGCTATACTAAAAACAAGCTTATTATTATTGAAATCGCATTTATTAAATTTATATTACGATTAATAACTTATGTCATTTTTATATACAATCCCTCTAGCCTTTAACAATATTTTCTGTTATTATTTATCGTATGGCGCTTATATCCGGGAGTAGGCCCGAAAGCCTATATAGTTCAGACGCCTATTTGGCAGAATTTTTAGTAGGCACCCGTAGGTTTTTGCCATGCCCGGAGGGGGGGGGCTTCTCTCTCCAGACACCGTGAATGCCTGAAGAGTGACGCCGCCCGTGACCGAGATTCAAACCGGCGACGGTGCGCGACGCAACCGCCGCCTTAGTCCGCTCGGCCACTTCACCCCCTTAATATTTTTTGTAAAATTGATAAATGACAATATTCAGAAAATATGACATGTGATTGAACCACTCTCAATTGGTCATCTGGTTATCTCTATACACAATGATCAGTTAAATCTCACTTAGAAATTATTGTTTGTTTACTTTTTTTTATTAATGATAATTATAGCTTTTAATATGAATACCTAATAATGCAATATTGAACTTGGAAGTTTGAAATATCTTTACAAACTCAAATTTAAAATATATTATATTTACAATTTTATTTGTATGCAGTTTTTTTTATTAATTTTAACTTTTATGATTAATAGTAGTTTTATTGTATTAATATATTTTTGTTCCTATTAAATATAAAAGATCTTCCACAATGTTGAATATATTCCAGAGTGATAAATATATTTGGTGCAATTATCATTATAAGTATAATGCATTTGTAGTTATTTATATCATTTATTTAATTTAAAAACAATTATTATGATTATAACTTACTACTTTCAGTTTTCTGAGACTAGTTGAAATGTATTATCATTATTTAATCTAATATTATTTACTAATTTAAATCAAATTACTTTTAGAATATACTATATACTGCTATGCTCTCTGATTACTAACAGACAGTAGTATATTTTAATAATTAATAATCTTAGTAATAAATTCTTATTTCTATGAAAAAAAAAAAACATAAAGTTCATAATAAATAAAATCGAAAAATCGGATTTTAAGCGCAACAGCTATATCTATTATCATTAATTATAAATTCATATATTATTAAGGGAGGAACCTATCTAAAATATTTCAGAATTTTAAATTCACTGATTTAAAACAGAATAAAATGTTATATTTTCTACTTAAAAATTTTATAAAATCGTTACGAGTATGATGCTTTTATTTGGAAATCGTGAGATAAAAGTTCAAAAAATACCCTATAAAAAAATTATTAGGTAGTTAAAATAACCCACTGAAGAAAATTTACTTCGTAGCAAAAATACAACTATAGTTGTTTTAGTTAATTTTAGTTAAAGTTGTATATTATATTATTGATAAAACAGTTAATCAACATCCAAAAATTTGTATTTTCATTTTTTTTTAAACTTTTTATAGACTTATGAAACAAAACAAACATAATTTTTTTTAAGCTTTTTGTAATTGTAAAAATAAAAACTAAAATATTTGTCTATTCAAAAAAATTATTAGATCCCTCCTGCGTGTAACAGCGACCGTACGTATACCGTAACGTCACTGATTCGTATCGACTTAAGTCGTTGTGCTATAAAATCACCGAATTAGAATTTAACACATATATTATAGCTCTCTATAAACAATAAGTTATTTAAAATAAATCATTTCTCTTAGAATTTTGAAAAAACATCAGTATTAACTAACTTTTAAGTTTATATTTATATTAATAGATTTATAATTTTTTATACAATAGTAATTTTACTTAATTTTAAGTTTATTTAAGTATGGACAATCGAAAATAAAACAAAAGACTAATGAATTAATTTCTGTCACGATATAATATTATTATTATCATTGACATTAAAAGTTATTTTTATCATATTTGATAATTCTATTTTAATATCATGAATAACTAAGATGTTTTTTCAATATTTTTTGAATGGTAATTTTTTTAAGTAGGTGTTATTAAAGCGCCATGTAAGCATATATTGTGTTAAATCTTAAATAATACGACGGTACAAGTCCGTTTGTACCAGTAGCGTCACGCATATACGTACGATCGCTGTTGAGTGTTGACACAGAAGGAAGGATCCGATTATTTTTTTTAAAAAACCAACATTTTAGTTTTCACTTTGACTATACAAAAAAGTAAACAAAAAAAAAAATGTTATTTTTTATTTTTATTTGATAATACGTGATTAATAATTAGTTAATATTTATTTAATTTTCATAAAATAGAGATTTATATGGGTATTAATAGGTCATTGTTATTTTACTTGATCAAGTATACACAAATATTATATATTTATCATTGTTAAAATATTATTTTATAGCACAATCCTGTCATATCAGGTTTTTTTACTAGGGTATATTTATTTTATTGGATTTTTTTTCTCGTGATATTTTTTGCCAATTGCTGTTTATTATTGTTTATATTTACTTTAATTAATCACTACTTTGGTAAGTTTCTTTGTAAATGTATCTCACGAAAGTAGCATCACTCGTGTCAATGATTTTTATTTATTGAACATATTACTTATACTAGAGTTTTATATACTATAGGTACCTACTTTTTATTGAATTTTTTATTAATTTATTATATATACTTGATGTTATTGTTTTAAATAAAAGTTTCAAAAAATTTGTTCTATAACTTATGCGTATTTATTTATATCCTAAGCACCTTTATCGTTTTAATAAATAAACCTTATTATACGTGTGCTACAATAATAAATTATTGATGACAGTTGTCACGATAAATTTGTGATGTTTTATAAATCAAATACCATTTTTTTCATAGTTGTTCCAAATACCCTCCTGAATGTCACCACATCGCCCGATTTAAAATTTTTTTTGTCTAGAGAGGGTTTATTGTATTTAAATGTTCCAATTTTTTGACAACACTATTTAACATTTTTCCAATTTTTTTTTAAAGGTTATACCAAATAATATCGCTAGAAAGATTTCAATACGTTTTCATTAACCATTTTTTATATTTCCTTGCCGATCACATTATTAAACGATAAAATTTGAATAATAAATTCTACAAATGCCTATCAATATATATTATTGTCCGAGGACAAAATAAACTATCAACCACTGGCAAAATCGTAAGGGGTTGGCTAGTTAGTAGTTAGTAATAAAATAGTAATATATAAAAATTAATTTAAAAACTTTGAAAATTTCATTACGTAAAGTAAAATTCATATTTTACGTAAACGTTTTAAGTCTAAACAAATAATTTTTTTAAATTAAAATAAAATAATGAACAATGTTATTCATCGTTTAAATTTGTAATTTCATTCAAGCTAGAATTTCAAACGTGCAAATGTCTATAAAAAATAATTATGTTTATTTATATTTTTTAGATTTTTATGAACTACTTATATACATATATAAGGAATAAATGCATTTCATCAAACCTTGATTATAAAAATTGAGGATCTTATAATTTTTTTAGTGCAAACAATTTGTAGTTTGTAAGTTTTTGCGAATTTGACGAGTATTGTAAACATTTTAACATAAAATCTACATAAAAAATTATGCTTATATGCATTTTTAACAGTTATATACAGATATAAAAACAACTTACGTAGGATTTTGTACTGCATTTTTGAAAATTTAGATTTTGTAAATAATTTGTTACCATAACACTTAAGAAAAAAATTAACAATTATTCTAGCTTAAAAATTTAAAATATTTTGAAAATGATATCATTTAAAATAAAAAATGATGGACACAAAAAAAAAATAAAACACATATCAATTTAAAATCAATACATTATTAATAATTGCTCCACTTTTAATATTATTCAAATAATTATAACTAAACCCGATAAACTCTAATTAGGTAGGTAGGTACCGAAAAGTTGTACCGTCCATGCTTAAGAGTGTTTTTCATCGCACTTACATAACCGATTTACCTACAGTTAAAATTGTATACATCCATTAAAGATTTACAGCAATAATTTACTTTAAATTCGTTTGTCCAATTGATAATTGATCGCCGTTATCGTGTAAAAATACTAAAAATATCTCGCATTTTATTTTATCATGGTGCATTTTTTTTCATATCAGTTTGAGCCGTTTGAGGTAACAAATTTCTAATTTCTCCAGGAGGATTACTTTCTTGACCATTCTATGATAACAAAATTATTTTGCTTCTGATAATAAGCTCAATAAAGTGATGATAAAAATTAATAACCACGAATACTATATTACTATATTAGTATATTATTATTATATAGATATTAGATTATTAGATAGTTTAGAAAATGAGATAGAACATTCTCACGCGTAACTCGTATAAGTATTTTGATGTTCTAGGATCTATCCATTCTACTCTTCTAGTGAAAACTTTAAGCTCCAATAATATACTTTGAAAATTGGTTGAATAATTGTATTACAATCTTTAATAATATTTTAGCTTAAAATTTGTTCAATGATCATATATTATCCTGTTAATCGTAAAAGTAGAATGTATGTTAAAAAATTTACTTAACCCCACCCCTTTTGAAATAATCTGACAGCAAATAGGCTAGTTAAATGATAAACTCATAATCGAATAAATCGCTGAATAAGTAAAACTAAAATTAAATTTTTTCTGTAGACTGTGTAAAGCTCTATTCTATCATTTTCTAAAGTTCGACTAGGTATGGAGTTCCATCATTGATGTTGTAATGAACGTATTAGAAGAAAATACCATAATAACAATAAACATGAAGACGTGCAATTTGATTGACAACAGTACTGGCTCAGGTAAAAATTTAGAATGTCCCAAATTATCTGAAAACAATTCTCATGGTGTATATGAATTATTATTGCAGTAGAAAAAAATGACAAACAATATTTATACTTGCGTTCTGTGGTTAAAGTCGAGTGTGGTCAGAACGAGGGCACAGCAGTTTGTGTTCATACATCTGACGCTAACGACAGACACCTGTTCCTCACTTGTGCACATGTCGTAGACCACGTTTGTAGCAACAGATTAATCAATAGTTGAGTTTTTGATGCATTTCTGAAATCTTATATTTTGGCAGACAGTGCAATCAATAATACTACGTTATGATGGACGTGCAATTAAAGGTAAAGTTATATATGCTAATCGTAAGGTTGTTCCGTGTGATATTGCTGTAATATTATCTGAACGAATTACAGACATTTTACCTTGTCAGATATCAGACAAAACCCCGACCATTGGTAAGACCAATATTATGTTTAATAATTAATTATTGGTTACCTTTAAAAGGTGTTTTTACAGGTCAAAAAATGTTTTCGGTTGGATTCCCATGTCGAGAATATGTACCGTCTACAAGTTTTGGTCACATGCACAGAATGATTCATAGTATGTTGACAACCACTTGTAATGTGCGTGAAGGGTTCAGTGGTGGTCCAGTCTTTTCAATGGATAGAAAACTATTAGGTCTCACTGTTGGAAGGTTAAACGTGGGCACTATTCATTTTGTATTGCCTTCTACAGAATTTGTGGAAACTATTAATAAATATATCCTCACTAATAGTTAGTTCATTCATAATTTAATATTTATATAAACTAAATTATGTTTAATTTTGTTTTTGTATTGTTTCATTTCTACAGATATTGAAATACTTAATGATTTAGAATCCAAGTGTCTATTGAAAACAGTGTTGTGAAACAATGGGATTCCCACCTTTAAAAGTATGTCATATTTGATTCAAGCAGAAGAATATTCTCATACACATTTCTATAATGAGTGTAATGATTTGTGTACTTTATTAGTAATGGTTTTGATTTTTAAACTTATTGTTATTGCGGTCTTAAAAATATTTTATATTGTTAAATGTGTCTAGTGGTCTATATGAAATTTATAAAATTGTTATTTTTTATTACAATGAGCAGTGAACTAATTTAATTGTAATACAAAAACTAATAAATGTACTTATTTTTATTGAAATGTTAAATAAAATAAATAATATGTTTGTCAGGAATAATGTTTACTTGCTAAAATAATTTGCTATTAAAGGCTTAAAGAATGATGACAATCTTGTCAAAAAACACTTGTATTAACTAAAAAAGTATTCCATATCAACAGGAATGAGGGATATTTTTCATAATTACTAGTGCATATTACTTTGATTGAGATTAAAGTTCTAATAAATACTATATCACAAGAGATATATTCACATGCTACTTTCAGAATCTTATTTTCATCTATTTGATCTGAAACTATTCACTTGTACAAAACAGAATATACCTATAAATTGTAAATATAAGATATTATTTTCCAATACTAAGGTAATTATAAAGAATTAAGCAATTAAATTAAATACAAATATCGGACTAGTAGGTACATAAGAAATAATTAGTATATAATTATATACTACATAACACATGATTAGATGTGTGTGAAAACTTTTGATTAAAATAGTTGTATTTTTAGTTACGTCATTTTTTAGAGCTTAAATTAATTAATACTGTTAAGCCATAAAGGTATGGAAATGAAAATATAAATTTTTATTTATTATTTGGAAAATTAATTTGATATACCTCATCGGGTTTATTTGTTTTTCAAAGTTGCAGTCAATATTCAAAAATGTGCGTCCACAGTAATTTTTTGTAATATTGTTTACTCCTGTCCTTTTACTAACATTTAAAACATAAGTCCATTTGAGTTTTAACAACATGCAGCATTTAGTATTTTTCAATTACATACATAATTGTATAAAATAAAAATTAACTTCCAATGTTTGAAGTCCATTCTAATTTTTAAATAATGTTTAAATAATAACTCACATATTTGATAAATTCATTAAATATAGATATTTATTTATGATATAATTGATAAATATGTTGCTTATTTAAAAAACTTTATATGTTTGTAACATAATTAAATGTTTCAATAATTTATGTAATGATATATTATATAAAAAAGAAAATCATTTTCTTGAACTTATTAACTATGAATTATAATTAATTAACAATATTTGAAATATTTGTTGCAAGAAAGGAATAGAACTAATAAAAGTTAAAATATTTCTTTTGAAAAAAAATTTTACAAAGTATAAACAAAGTAGTTAAAATTAATAAAATTAAAAAAATGTATGTAAATTATTATATACATAAATAAAGAACTAAATTCCTTTACGCAACAATTATTAATTCAAATAGATTGTATACAAATACATAATTTTTCAGTAGACAAAAAGTTATCTTAAAAAATCAACAACAAAATAAATAAAATATGTATTATAAATATTTCAGGAGGCATTAAAAAACTAGTAACCAAATAATTCCAAACACTCAAACATTTGGATAAAATATAAAACAAAAAAGTAATAACAATTCATTTATAGTAAAAATAATTGCAGTATGTACAAATTGTGCTTATCTTATAATATCAGCCCAACTGCAGAATATAATGGAAAAATAAATTATAGAATACCACAGGGACGTCCTCAGGGGGGAAGGCGAATGGGGCAGTCGCCCCCTCCATGACCTCTATTTTCTTTTTTAAAATGTTCATAATTTATATTAAAATATAATACTAGGAAAAAATAATATAAGTACGCTGATATAGTGATATCACATATTAAACCATAAAAACAATCAGGTAAAACACCTAGTAATTAGTGTATTTTCATATATATTTAGATGATGTATGAAGTTCGCCCTCCCCTTATAAAAGGGTCTAGAAACGCCACTGGAATACCAAATAAAGTTTTAGAATTACTAAGTAGAACTTTGCAATGATTATAATTTTTTATACTGTCTAATATAAAAAACAATAAGTTATTTTGTCTAACTCGGTTAATTTCAGAAACTTATGTGATTAAAAAAAAAAAAAAAACTAAAATTACAACTGTCGATTATTCAGTCAATTTAAATAAATAATTGTTGTAACCAGTAGTTTTAAATGTGTGATTAATAATATTCATTCATATGACTACAACTCATATTTTATTTAAAACATAAAATTAATTATAAATAAGGGGAATGAGTAGGAAATTTCACTCAATATTCATGTTATACAGAACATATCTGACTAAGTAAATGAATAGTGCAAAGCCAACCACTACAACACTATTGTAAACAACGGAGTTAAGAATATTGTTTTCAGGTAGAATACAATCCGTGCTTGGTGATTGCTCTTCGTTAGCTCTAGCCAAATTTCGTTTTTCAATTTCTTTTTGTATTGTCTATAAGAAAAAAATAACAATTAGTAATAATAACATATTAAGGTCTGTCTTACAATCACGTGCGTTTCAGTTTACATTATTCGAGTTCATAATTTTATATTAGACATGAAACACACTTTTGTTGATGAGGAGCTTATGAACTTAAACAATGTAAACTTTAACACTCAAGTCTGAAAAACAGGTCTAATAGTATATTTGCAATTGTTACCATGGTGAGTTCGGGAAATAATTCACAGAAATTGTCGTCACGTATATTTGACTCTAAGCTCTGAACAGCCAATTGTCGCCTCTCGTAATCAGTCATCTCTATGCTACCCATTGTTGGACTATTTTCTAACTAAATTCAAATAAACTAGCATATAATAAGAGAAAGTTTATTTTTTTTATAAATAATTTAAGGTCCATATACATTGCATCAGTGGCAGTTACATTTTATTGTCTTTTACCAAGGCATAAATTGTGTCCTAAATTTTAAAATTTTACCTCTACGGCTGCAGTGTATGGGGACTTTTGAGTAATTACCATAAAGCTAAGCAATCCAGTGAGAATAGTAGATACACTCCATGCTGGGTTCCAAGTGTCTGGATGGTAATCACTTATAGACAAACACAGGCGAGTGTTAGTTTTGAACCTGCCATTAGGAGTGATCATGTAAATACTAGGTGGCTTAAATGGAAAATCTCTAGGGAAAACTAGCCTTCCCAAATAATAACCACCAGCGTATGGCGAATCGTCAGGTCCGCTTACAACATAGTACCTGAATAACACACACGTTTCATTAAGTAATTAGGTAGATAAATATTAATTTTTGCACACATACCATTCCAATATGTTAGACGGATTTGGCTCGGCGATTACATATGGCACCGGATCATTTTTTAGTCGTAAGTAGTCTTGTTTCAGACGAAGTGTAGCTGACGACGTTTTTGGTGCCATAATTCTTATTTCTTTCGTTTACTAGGGTGTATTATTATGTAAGTATTGTATACTAATCAACGGTATATTAACATTAGTATGTGGCAACAATGGTTAATAGAATACGTACGTGGTATGTATTATAAACGTTGGTCAATTAATTTGCTAATTTGTATACGATTCAAAATAATTATATTAAAATAATTAATTTAAAACAAACACGGTATTATGCCATACACACATACCAATATTGATATATAAAAATTGTTCAACTCTCAGAATTTGAACTAAATAGTAAATGATTGAGATTTGAGATTGAGAATTAGGAATTATGATATAGCTACAACATACATATTTTGTATATTAAGCAATAAAAATTAAAAGCATAAAACAAATTATTAGATAATGTTGATAAGAAAAATTCATCAATGGAATAGAAAAATATTTCACATTTCACAGTGATGGGTCATCTTCATTCCCTAATGGATAGGGCTACAAGACACATCTATTCATCTATTCATCTATTCATCAGTCTGATGTCTGAAGACTCTGAATGTTTGAACTATTTGAAGCCAACTCAAGACTAAAAAAAAATATTGTAAGCTGACTTGGCATAATTGCGCATGTGCTCTATTATTATCACAAAATCACATTGTTGTTATGAACTGCTGTGATAACGATAAGTACCAATAACAACTTGAGAAAACGTATTACTCAGCACGTTAGATAGATATTAAAATTTTAAATCACCATAAATATTCAACGAGTTTAGACGCGGTTGCGCAATAGAAGTTTGTCAGTAATAGACTTGTATCACTAATATTGTCTTCTAAATATTCGCTTACCCACTGTCAATAGTGCAGTACATAGTGCTAACTGTGGCTCTATATATTGCGTAATATACATATTATTATGATCTATGTTTCTAATGTGATAACTGATGACTGATGATCATGAATTAAGATATCTGTACTTAAATAATAAAATATTGTTATAGTACATACTGAAACCAAAAAATCTAAAAATTGTATGAACACAGACATTTTTTAAGACATTTTAGCTTTAAATTAAGATACAGTTTTTAAATGAAGAATTATAGTTGTTTTGTTGTAATTCAAATACATTTTAATTTTTGTAGGAATCTGAACCTACAACAAATACTTCATAATCAAAATTAAATTTCAAATTTTGGATTCTGATGAGCGGATTGGATCACTGTAATGATGAATGTGTTAGAATTTAATTCAATGATTTATTATTGTATAAATGAAAATCAATTTTGAAAGGGGACAGTCATTATTGTCATAAAAAGTTTTTTGATATTGCTATTAAAGTAGGTAATTTATTTTACTAGAAAATAATTATAAATAAACAATTGGTGATCATTTATTTCATTTACGGTTAGGAACTCGTTTATGGGTAAAAATTTAATTGATTTTGTCAAAAATTATTAAAAATAATTAGTAAAAAATCTCGTTTTTTTTTTTTTTTTTATTAATATTCTTGATTATTAATACCGGGGATTTAAAATTTTTACCATGCTAGAATTTTTAAGTACAAACTAGATTTAATTAGCTATCTAAAACTATTCTCAATGTTGAGAATTAAAAGATTTCTTTGATTACTTACCGTGTAGATACAAAAAATCTGATGTTCCGTGTACCTTATAACCTTTTATAATAACGATTATAGTCTTTTGGAAACTGCATATTATTATTGATAAAACTGAAAATAAATCAGATAATAATGTCATTATTCCGCATCGAAAATATTTATATTAATGAATACAATTTGTTTTTATTATTGAATACTAATTTAACTAGTATCAATGAAATAAATTATCGACAAATGTTTAATTTATTAATGTTTAAAAGTCTAGAGTCATTAAAGTATTTATTAGCCAATTAAATTTTAATTAAATTAATTAAATTAAAAAAAAAATAACTGTTTTGATTATTGATAAAACAAGTACACAATGTGTATGATGTAAAATATTTATATTTAAAAATGATGGACGCAACAAATAATATAAGACATATATTTTTATATTTTACTAGTAAACATATTTTATTACATAATTGAATACGTTATTTACGATATTTTTTTTAAGGCACTTACAGTGTAGTATGAATATTAACTATATATTACTGTAATATAATTTTTAAATGTTCTTTGATTTGTTAGTTTATGTTTAAGATTTAAAAAAAACGCGCCTTGATATTTGACAGTACTTTCCATATTGTAAAATATATTTTTATTCCATGAAATCTGTTTTGTTGTCCACCCCCTCTTACAATCACTATCTTTCTTTTCGTTACACGAGGCAGTGAGGTATTGAGGCTCGATTTCGGTCTCATTTTCAGAACATAACGTGACATACGGATCTTTTATCCGTATTACATTTTATAATTTACGCGTGTCGCTTTGGTAAGTATTAATTGGATTGTAAATATTATTCTGTGCTACTCTAAACTATTATATTGATTTAATACGATCAACAACTATCATTTCTTACTAAGCCATTCGATAGTTGATCGTTCAATTTTCAAGAATTTCTATTGACGTTCGTACACATGGTTTATATTTAAACGATTCGTTTTTGTTTCATATTGATTTCCGCTGAAATCACTATTATATACCATCTAATACTCTTTATTTTTGATTTTACTGTTTAATTTTTATTAAACGCAGTTGAAAAGGAAATTTGAATTGTCTTAAATCGTGTCGTAAGCATAACATAACCTAAAATATTTAATGCTCGCCCATACCTTGATAATTTTAAGCGTTTTTGCCGGTTTTAATGTGAATCGAAAATTAACTACATTTTATTATTTTGATTTTTAGTTCTTAAACGTATTAAACATCTCTATACCACAAGATGGGTAGAGAGGACAAAGCAACTTGGAAAGCTAACTACTTTGTGAAGTTGGTGGTATGTTTTACATTGAACTAAATAATAACTTGTATTTTCATTTTAAAATAAATTATTCATTCTTTTAGAATTTACTTGACGAGTTCCCAAAATGTTTTATTGTGGGAGCCGACAATGTGGGTTCAAAACAAATGCAACAAATCCGTATCAGTCTTCGTGGAAATGCTGTCGTATTGATGGGCAAGAATACAATGATGAGGAAAGCGATAAAAGGTCATATCGACAGAAATCAATCTCTTGAAAAGTAATTTTCTCAATTTATTAATATTTAGTAATTATAAATTAATATTGTTTATGATGATAATATTATAACTGAATAAGTAGAGTCATAACGCATCAAAGCTAGAAATAGCTGAACCCATTGATGCGGACGAAGCTTATTGAAATCTAATGCTTAAACGCAGTCTGAAACTAACACAATTTAAAATTAATGATTTTGTGTATTATTATTATAGTAATTTGATTGTTCATTTTAATTTTAGTTATAGTAATTATGATGAAATAATTTTGACTTAAAAAATCAATCGTTAACACGTCAAAGCCAGAAATGGTTGAACCCATTGATGTGGATTGATTTTTATTGATGTCAAATGCCTTTAGGCAGTCTGATTTACTATAACATTTTATTATTGTTATTTTTATAAAATATGATGTTTCATTAATTAATTATTTATATATTTATTTTAGGATTATGCCTCACATTAGAGGAAATGTTGGATTTGTTTTCACTCGTAGTGATTTGGTTGAGATCCGAGATAAGCTTTTGGAAAATAAAGTCCGTGCTCCAGCTCGTCCTGGTGCTATTGCTCCTTGTCCTGTTGTTATTCCTGCTCAAAACACTGGGCTGGGACCGGAAAAAACTTCTTTCTTCCAGGCTTTGTCTATTCCAACTAAAATCTCTAAGGGAACAATTGAAATCATCGTAAGTAAAATCATACTCATAATATTTTAAATTCATTATACTTAACCAATTTTAAATGTTTAGAATGATGTGCATATTTTAAAAGAGGGTGACAAAGTAGGAGCTTCTGAGGCGACATTATTGAACATGTTGAATATTTCTCCATTTTCATATGGTTTAGCTGTACAAATGGTATATGATTCTGGAACTATATTTGAGCCCGAAATTTTGGATATTAAGCCAGAAGATTTATTGAAAACTTTCTTAATAGTGAGTTGACATTTTTATGTTAAGTTTGTTTGGTATTCACCAACATTAAATTTATAATTGTGAAGTGGTGTTCTCTTAAAACATTATTTGTGACTAATAATGTATTTATGTTAGTAGTTTTCTTATATATTTTAAGGTGATTGAAAGCAATAGAGATTTAAAGCTTTGTCTAACACTTGACTAAATAATGTATACTAGAAAAGTTACACTAAGTTTATTTATTGTGCATGTGTTAAAAATAGAAAGTTACTACTTTTGATCATATTTTAATCTTTAATTTTTGTATTAAGATTTTCTATAAATGTATTTAGCATATTTTTTTTTTTTTTTTAATATAAATAATTTTTTATTACCTAAAATTTATAAATGAAACATTAACATTACAATAAATAGGATACCATGCTCACTTAGTATTATAAGCTTCAATTTCAGAGTAATTTAACTGCATGTAAAATATAAAAATGGTCATAACTTCCCTTAATGACCATATACTTAACAAATAAAAACTTTTCCTTCAAATGTTTAAATTAACTACACAAATTTTTTTCTGTTGAATTCAAATTTAATGATTAATGATTTATTTTTATAAGTCTGAGACGACATACGGTGCAACTACTTCATAGTTAAGATTGAAATTTAATAATGATGATTCCTAATTTAACTATTGTCTTCTTTTCCCGTCAGAAGATATTATGTTGATATTTAAATCTGAGTTAATTGTAGAAAAGCAATATTTTTAGTAACTATTAAATATTTTTTATTATTTTTAGTAACGTGACTTTATTCTTGATTTTTAAAAATGCATTTTAAATTATATAAAGTATAAGTAGTTATAGTTTAAATGCCTTGATGTAGTTTAATAATTTATAAATAAGATACAATTGTAATTTTTGTATGATATTTTAATTATTTGATTGAATATATTATTGGTACCTTTTTGGTATTAATTTTTTACTAAAAAAAATTATTTGAATATAAATTATTAATGATGATTTATATTTTTTTTGTCTTCTTTTCCCGTCAGAAGATGTGATGTTGACACTTCAAATCTGATTTAATTTGTATAAAATAATTTTTTTTTTTATTTTTATTTGATTTTATTATCTATTTAGTATCAATCAATAATTTATTAAATTATAATATATATATATATTAATCATATTATATTATTAATAGGGAGTTTCTCAAGTAACAGCTGCTTGCCTTGCAATCAGTTATCCAACTATTATTTCTGCTCCTCACATGTTGATCAATGGTTTCAAGAACTTGGTTGCAGTTGCTGCTGAAACTGAAATTGAATTCAAAGAAGCTACGACATTCAAGGAATATCTTAAAGTAATAAATTGAAACATATTAGATGAAAACATATTAAATACTGTATTTTATTTAATTTCAGGATCCATCCAAGTTTGCTGTTGCTGTTGCTGCTCCTGTAGAAAGTGCAGCTCCAGCTGAAGCTAAGAAAGAAGAAAAGGTAGAAAGTGAAGAAGAAGAAGATGATGATATGGGTTTCGGTCTATTTGACTAACTTGTTCATTTTATTACTTTCAACTGAAATAAAAACTATTTTAAAACTATGTTTTATACTTCTATTATTTTTATATCTTGAAAACCATAATCATATTTCACCAAAGAATAGTTTACTTTTAAAATTAAATTTAAGTTACTGCTTATAGTTGTTTTTTTAAAAGTTAAATTTTGTATTATTTACTCAGCTACAGTTCTGTAAATTCTGTTATCTATGTATTTGTTTGGTATTGCACGCTGGATTTTTAGGATTGGTTACCCACATCATATTACTAATTAATAGTTACTGAGTAAATGATAAAAAAAAAATATTAGTCATGAAGATTTATTAGAAATTTACAATAGTTTTGTTAAAGTTCTAATATTTTTTTTTACAATATTGTAACAGTAAAGTGAGCATAGAACACACTTAATAAACACGTTTTCTTTTAAATATATTTTTTGTAAGGGACATTTCTCTAGAAGATGTCTGTGGTTTAGTAAAAATAAGTTTTGCGCTATTGTTTAAAAAATTTATAACTCAAAAATCAAGAAAATTTAATTCTAGATCCATCTTGCGTTTGTAGAAATTTTTTAAAATATTAAAATCATTTAAACATTTTTTAATTGTTTGAAAGATCATACTATCAAAATGCGAAATATATTTTAATACCACATTAGTATATTAAATATTCAGTTAGTATAGATTATCTAAATTTTGTTCAAGGAATTCAGAAAAATTCATACTAATTATTTCAAACCCGCCTAAAATTAAATCCTTGGAATTTTTATACATATTGAATATAAATAAAGGGAAAAATCTTATTGGAAATATTTAAATTGGTTCAGTAGGTACAATCAATTTAATACAAACATCAGGTGAAGACCACATTTAAGAAATAAGGTATTTTGGTAACCCCTGTACTAAACAGTAGGTGTCAAGTGTACTTAGTTATTAAGTTACTATAATGTACCTATAATATGTTGGTTCAAGGAAGCAATTTTGCACATGTTAAACTATTACGAGTGAACATTATCAGCCTTTATCATTAATTACGTTTTGTGATTTATTTAAATGGCCATCATAGTAATTTATTTGTCAGGAATACGATATAAATAGGCGTATTTTGTATGGAAAAAAATATATTTTAAGCCCTCGCGATAATATTTTTAAATTACAACAAAATACCTTAACTCTTTTTTTTTTTCATTTAAACATCATAAAAAAAAAGAAAATAATCGTATATTAATATATTTTTCAGAATTATGTTTCAGTACCTATAAACTATTTATGAGGAACTCTGAATTAAAAATTTCAAACATTAGTTATAAAATTTGAACGCTTTATAATTATTTATATCGTGATCTTGTCAAATTTTGTCGACATTTGAACTTATGTGTTTAAAAAAAATAGATAATAGGTAAATCGTGTCTATGAGTGCTAAAGATATTTAAATACCTATCAAGCTATAAAAGCAACACACACCTGATTTATAACCATATTATTTTGTTAATAGATTTTTTTAACCAAGAACATTTTAAATGTAGTCATTTTATGGCATTTTGTATCATTTTTCCCCCGATTATTTTGAAAAATACTGGTTGGGAGTTTTCAATTTTGACCTATTAAAATAACCAAAAACTAGAATCAATTTTTTAATCAGAAACCAAACTTAATGTTGATTGAGAATTTTTTAAATTATAAATCGTGTATACACTGAAAACACATCATTGTAAAATTAATTGCAATACATTGATCACCGAGTTAAGAATCAAAAATATGCAAACTAATTAATTAAGATCAAACCTGGATTACCAAAAAAAAAAAAAAATGTTAAATCGGAAACGTCTCAGCCTTCTAGGCTGTAAGCATATAAATATTTAAAAAACTGTAGGTTATTAATTAATTTGTTATTGTTTCGTATTACCAAAATTTTTATGAATACTTACTCTATTTTCTTTCGTAATAATTCGATCATAATATATTTTAATTTAATTAATTCATTAAAGTTTTTTTTTTTTTTTAAACGTATTAACTAAATTAATTTTTTACAACTAATATGCTCAATATAAAAATTGAAAATATTAAGTGCCTACAAAAAAAAGATTTTTAGGAAATAATATCTACGTACCTATTAATCAAACATTTAAATTATATTATTTTTAATAATTGACTTAATTTTGGTCACATCTTTTGTACCCATTACTTTTGACGAGACTACTCGTATAACTTGTGGCACTGCAATTTGTTGGAATATAATTGTTAAAATTCGTCTGTTCGTGTACCTGTACTTTTCGAATGATGTGCAGTTCTTCGTGTACATTATAAAGTTCAATTACAAAACCTAATGCACTAAAATCTTTTAAATTTTTTAGCCAGCGTTGATCGTATTATTCGGTTTGTAACAGGATGTGCGGTTTCCCTAATATTTCCAACAGGCCTTTTTTAAGGGTCACGGGTAATAAAAAAATTGAATAATTAAAGGTAACATTAATATATAATAAATATGCATTCATATAACATACAGATGGGCACTATATGTTTATTTTGCAATTCGTCGTATATTATATATATTTATAATAAATCTATAATAGAACACAAAAGTAATCATTAACAATGGTATAATAAAGTGAGAATAACACTTGGGTGCATTCCGTTTGGAATAATTCCAAATTATAAAATTACAAATTATTTGTATACAAACGATAAATTCTTATACTTATATAGGTATCTCTTATAATAATATAATATAAATAAATATTTTAAATGAATATAAAAAAAAAAAAAAAAATGATGATTATGCCGTATTTGTTGTCCAAATACAATGTAATAAACTTAAAATCAAGTTCACAAGTTCACATTATATAAAAACGTAAAGATAGGTAGGTACCGTAATAAAAAAAATACATAATATTATAGTGTACTAGTTAAAGGGCTATTTAGACATAATTGAAAACAAATTATATGCTGTAGTACCTTCTAAATATTATTTATTATCATCTATGTTGGCACTTGTCATGATTTGGACTAGATAGAGTACTATAGGTACCTGCTGTATCATAATCTAATATCTACTATACTCAAATGGTTTGTATTCTATTACTAAAATTATGTTGAACAAATTTTTCTTCACACACGGTGGAGAGTATCTACCCTAAAGCGGATTAATGTACCTATAAAGGTGTAGATGCAAAGTAACACGTTATTATTATATATATACCGTATTATAGGCATAAATTAATTAAGTAGGTATAAATTTTATGCTTAGTATAATAGTATGATACGAAAAAATTTGATTTTTTTACAAGAATCAAAAACTCTAAACGTAACTCTCTTGTTTTGATGAATACAAAAGGAATGAGTCCAACAGTCTCGGTTCAATCAGTTCAGCGGCGTCATATTGGTTCATTATTTCTTTGCCACAATTTGCGGCGATTTTCCGCAGCGAGGCCTAAACAAAAAAAAAAAAAACAAAAAATCGTCATTATTATATTATTATAAAATATAATATTCATTTGTGGGAAGGTACCAAATTAAAATAACACACTTTAACACAAACGTTAGCAATAGTCATCGAAAACAGATATCATTATTTTTTGATTTTCTCAAGTAATATCAGGATATTATTCTTTTCAGTGACTATCATCTAATAAATTGTAGGTATACCTATTATATAGTGTAAAATATATTAAATATTTTGGAATAAATACAGTTCAACGAATTTTCACAATATTTTTTAAGCTGTGTGTTTTAGCAGGGCGTCTATTTAATGATTATAATATAATTCAAAGCTAATTTCATGTTAAAAGTTATGCCCGAATGGAGTAGGTAGGTAGGGGTTTTAAATTTTAAAGTTTTAAACACATCGAATATTAAATACTAAAATTTAATATTTTTAAAATTTGTTTCTTCTCAATTTTCTGATTTTTCAAGCTATAAATAATGGCCTGATCAGAAATTTAGAACGCTGAACACTAAATCAATTTAAAACTAGTGTTGACGTGTAATATATTATTATTATTTAAATTATATATAAAGGAAATTAAATAATCAACAAAGGCATCACTAAAGTATATTTATTAAACCTGACGTTATTTCTTCACTGTTATTTTGAAAGATTGTACAAATAGAATACATTGAAACCGATGATTCAAGTAAATATTTTGAAGAAAAAATTTCGTAAAAAATATTTATTTTTTTGCATTTTAAAAATTAACATTGTTGAAGACTTACTGTTTCTAATAAATTTAAAAATATATATGATTATAATATGCTTATGTGGTACACTTAGACTAGTTAGACTGTTATGTGTATAAACAGGACGGGTCTTAGAGAACGGCAGTCGTATAATCAAACACTTTCAAAAAAAAGGTCGTCATTCAAATCTACAATTTTTTATACCGCACAGTTTTCTCAAAATTAAATCGTCCAGTACCACACAAACTGATATGAATAACACACACCTTTATTTAAAACCAAATTATAGTTTAGAACCACACACCAGTTAATTATATTTAATCAAAATCACATAAGCATTAAGCAGTCACTAACAATTAAATTAATTTAATAGAATATTTAAAAATACCAAAATGTAATTTTCCAATCTAAATATTATCTACAATATATCATTTATTTTATTTTATTATATATTGAATGATTTTTAAATACAATTATTTTTAATTGTGAATCCAATTTGTGTGGTTTTAAATTATCGACCTTCCAAATTTCCTTTTTTAACAATAGAAAAAAATTGTGCAGTATTTAATAGTGTAAAATATACGATTAAGAATAGTAAGTGTACGATTTTAAACAACGCCCTTAGAGCATAGGGCCTCTAGGCAGTTACCAATTAATATAATTTATAATTAAAAATATTAAATTTATATAGGTACTTACTAAGCATGCCACAAGAACACCGTCACTGTTATTTCGTTCTCTTTCATCTTTGCACAACCGTATCAAACGATTAACGCCTTCGAGTTCCACGAATTGTTTCGACACTTCTGCATCGCTGCACAGTCTAAAATCACAAAATAAATATAATTATTATGAATAATGAACGTTGTAAAAATAATATATTAAATATGTAAATATTAATAATTAATATAATTATTGTTATATGTAAGTACAGAATTTAAATATACGTATATCAGTGGCGTTGCTAACTCACGATACTTCATAGGAAGCAATTAATCCTATATTCAACCCTAACTTTAACATGTAGGTATAAATAATTAGCATATTATATATTTATAATAATATGCACTTGGTTATTTTCCTGCAACTTTTTCAAATTAAATCTGATTGTAATTACTATAGTTATGTAATTTTATCAAGAAAAATTATCAAGAGAAAAAAAATTTTTAACATTTAACTATAAAAATTTTGGAACTATCTGACTGAGGGATTTAAAATTAAACCAATGGGTGCTATATACGGCATACGCATTACATAGTTGTGTCAATAACTTTATGAATTGGAAGTTCCAAATGCCACCTTATTTCTGGTGTTGGTAGGCTCAAATGTATCGTTTGCCCCTTGAATAATATCAGAGTACTATAGTACCCTATAGTGCCCTATAGGACACTCCAAAAGCAAAAACCACCAATGAAATTAGAGTAATAAGGTACTATTTAACCTAAACGAAATCGGAAAATTTTCGCAATATATTGAATACACCTAGTTACATAATATTATTCTGGTTCTGCAGCCGCGACATATAAAAATATAATACCTGGATAAGGCGATGGCAGTCTTGTGCTGTAGCCGTTCGGCGGCCAGTATTTCAGGAACACGCTGTAATGGCGAGTGCCGAACTTGCAAGAAACACAACAAAGCGATCACCGCATGGTTTGCCGCCATGTGTGGTCTAGCTTCAGGAACTGCTGCCATGTTAGCCAAAAGTGTGGCTGTTTGTTCTTGTAAAAACACCGACGATTTTGTGCCGTTTTTCCTGACCGCTTCTATCAGTGATCCAGCGGTGCCCATGTTCAATATGGTCCATATTGCGTTAGGTTCCATGAACGTGATGTTGGCCAGCGCAGCGGACGATAGCAACAACGTTTCCGATGACTGCGTAGTCTCCACAAGGTCTGAGGTCGGACAGTTAACAAGAAAAAAATTGGTCAAGACACATATTATATAGGCGGTATAAAGCAAAATCATAATAAGTAGTTGATGACATACACGTCAACGAGGATATAATAGTGTTCAGGTATTCGTTGAGTCCGTTGACGACGTGGTTGTCTTCAATCCAAGGAGCAGTAATTTGAGCTAACACGGACACGGTGTCGGTCAATTCTTTTTCCGAGCGGTTTTTACTGCCCAATATGTCGGATAATATCTCTACGCCTCCGGCCTAAAAATTAAGCAGAAATATACATAATCATATTCTATTATATATATATACATAAAATATAATAATAATATATTATTATTATTATTATTATATTATATATACATATATATATTAGTATATTGTTATATTTAATAAATTGTATTAATACAGATTATGTTGTGTTTTCAGTATTTTTGATTTCATTTTACGTTTATTTTTATTACATAATTTATAATAAATCAATAGTTTAGTTGGGTACCTTTTCGAATTGTCTGATGCTGTCTGAAGAGCAACACACCATTGCCAGTGTGCGCAGAGCAGCTGATCTGACTGTACTAGACACGGCTTCTATGCAAACAGTCAACAACGATCGGACACCATTGCACTTCGTTACCAAACTACCGAGATGAACACTTTCCAATCCCAGGCTGTTTATGCTGGACATGGTCTTCACGAGCTCAATATCAGTGCTTGGTTCTTCCAATATGTTCACCAATGACTAAAAATTTAATCAAATATTATAAATTATAGCTTGATGAAAATATTCCAAATTCGAAATGTATACTCGTAAACTATAAATTATCATTATTTACTTGTATTTTTTTCATTAATAAAGCATCGATTAATTCGCTAAATATTTGTCCTAGTGCGGACATGTCGTTAAGAATAATTTTTCTATTGCCAAGACGCCGGTTTGCATGAATTCTTAGTTTTTCGGAAACATCCACCAAGTCCATACATAACTCTTGGCCATGTTCAGATAGTTCACTCTCGTGATCACAAACAAAGTCCAACAACAAACTAGTAAGTGTTTGGACGGATGATCCAAAATTATCAATATGACATTTGTTCAAAACACTAAGAAAAAAAGGTAAATATATTATCATGTAATTTAGAAAAACTTATGAAACACCTACTTGTACACTTTTATAAATTCATCAGATATGACTTTTGTACGTTGATAAAGGTCCCGCACAACTTCAGAATCGGTACAAACAATTGTAGAAAAACGACATGCATCTTCTGAAGTTGCTATTGATTTCGATTGTAGAGTGGTCATACATTCAGGTTCACATCTAAACCTCAATTCGTTTAACCACTGGCCAACGGGTACTTCGTTTTCACGGCTAATTCAAAAAATAAATATTCACAATAATTTAAAAATTTCCTCAATTTAGATTCAAATAAATATCTATGTTTATTATTTGATGATATAAAAAATATTTAAAAATTTAATTTGGTTATATTTATATTAAATAATTTATATCAATTATTAAAAAAATAAAACAAATTATACCTATGTAATGTGCTTGAGCGTTTAATTTAATAATAATACGAGTACCTATATATTAAAAATTATATTCATGTTAGTAAATTATATCAAAAATGTACCTGCTGAAGTTATCTTTTAAATGTTTTGGTTTTCTTAGTTGCAGATCTTTTCTATAATGCAATCTAGGTGTACAACATCTGGTTTTAGTCGATTTCGGTGTAGACGTATGCTCAGGTGTACCCGGTCTATCGGATTCACATAGACTCACTGTCTCCGCATCGTTAAGACGGTCAATAAACGGTGTAGGTGGTTCGATAATCAATTCATTATTTTTGATACAGTCCTGTTTAATGTTTTCTACAACGGTAACGTTTTCTGATTGATCGAAATGACCGTCAAAACTTTTCACCGAGCTTGGCGTCGACAGTAATACTACGCTGGTTTTTGGTAATTCATCAACGATAAAACATGTTCGGTTGGGTGTGCGAGGTTCTTCTTCGTATCTTTTTGTCGTTGGTCTGAATGATGACGTTTCATCGGCGGTGACATAGTCAAATGATCGGAACTTTCTAGATAATTCACACGCTGGTAGAAAACAATTACAATGATCAGGTGATTGTGGTTGGGATTCGCAAGGCGAAGGGAGCCTAGGAACCGGGACTTCGGATAGCACTCCGTCTGGCAATTTTTCAGTAAACGCATTCGTATTGTTCTGTTTCTTGTCTTCTTTAGGCAAAGCTTTAGACAATCCTAAAGGACTACTTTCTGAGTCCGAAAAACCAGAATCCTGCGATTTGTGACTACCATTGCTCGGACTACCAGATGACACTCGTCTGCTCTCCGGCGATGAGGATGGTTGTCGGCGCCACGAGTGATGGATATCTTCATCGTCATCGTCTAAGTTGGGGAACCATACCTTGCTACGAGTTCGTTGGAAGTCAGTCATATTTATCTTATTTATTGAATCTGAAACAAGATATTAATCTTATTATCTGAGAAAAGAGAATACACATTAGAAGTAAAGTGTTAAAATATACTATATAATAATTATTCAAGAGTTAATAACAGAGTTAACACTGCAAACTGCAAGTATGTAGCACAATCTTCTGTGTAAATTTCCATCAAAATTTTAAGTACATTAATTTGTTTTTGATTAATTTTAAGATATTAAATAGGTATGTTGTACATATAGATTTTACCTATAAAATACACAGAGGTTAAATTTATCAATTTAAAAATAAATTATGTGTGTGTAATTATGTAACAGATGTATGGAAAGTATTCATAAATCTATAAATAATATATATATATATATATATATATATATATCATTTTATCCGAGAGTTAATTTTAAGGATATTAATATTTTTTTAAATTTTAATAATAAAAATAGTATGAGTCATATTATATGACGTATTTCGTAAATAATTACAATAACTTGCCTATATTATTATCTTTATGTTTTAAATACTTGAATTTAAATTTTAATCGAATTTACGAAATAAACATTAAATATCATTTTTTTTTTTTGGTATAAAAATAAATAGCTAGATCAAATTAAAAAGAAATTTCTTAGTACAATCTAGTTTAAATTGATTTTGTTTAGTGATTCGTTAAAAACTGAAATGATATACTTGATGGCAGGTGGATATTTTTAAACGTACTTAAAAGGTTTCTACGACCTGCAATGTATGGCATATCAGATTATCAGTTTATCACTACTTTAATTATTTTTAATACTTAATAGTATTATTTATACCTAGTATAGATAGGTGCTTTTGTGCTTATAATATTTATTATATACCTATAGTTATATTTAATATTTTATTTTTACTATTAAAAATTTAAGAATTCTAATATTAGTTTCTAATAAATATTAAACTTAATTATGATTATATTATCTTAAAATTATCCAATACTAAACGTTAATGGAATTCATAAATTGAATATCCCTATGAAAAAATATGAGTATTCAGCATCTGTTTACCTACGACCTATACCTAGCTGGCTGGCTACCTATTTAGTATATAATAGTATATAGCACGATGAGTGACTGTAGAATGAGTGTGTAGAATATAAAGATACCGGTAGCTATCAAAGTTCGTTTTTTAGGCTCTCCTGCAGACATAGTAATAATAATTGAACGGGTGTAGAGTAGGTATTAAGTTCTTTTTATTGTTCCTAAGACATTTTGTGTGAGCGTGACTGATAGCGTTATAGAACGACGAACAATAAACCATATAGATTAGTCCTATATAGCCGTGACCGAATAACAATCGTCTCCTTACTTACAACGAGGGTGATATGAAGATCGAGTTCACTTGGATATTACTTTTCGAAACAGGTCACGGTTAAAAATATATACCTAGGTATACAGGTATAGTCTTTGAAGCACATAGATAGGTACTACTCTTTAAGAATACACATACCTATCGGTTGATATGGACATTTCTGGTTGATCCAATTCTTTTATTGGAGTACATTATTCTTTTTGAAGACACATTTACAATACAAAAACAAGATAATTAGAAATATATAAAACAAATTCTAACATAAAACTAATTATTGGTTTTTAGTCTTATCGAAGGGTGTATTCTATGTACTTTATATGGATTATGAGTATCTAACAGACTAACAGTGCACCTATACATTGTTACTACATATGAGAAAAAAACCAATTTAAACCAATACATTAAACCCAGTCGAGTTAATAACAAATATAAGAATCAAATTTGTAAGGAAATGAAGATTATAGATATAGCTTCAAACAAAAGGTCATTATGATTTATGAAGCCAATGACCATTTGCCTGTTATATATATTTTAAGTCACTGGACGCTGATAATCGTCAACCTTCCAAGTGGTCGCGACCCCCATTGAGAAATACATTACGCTATCGATATCGAATCTACGGTTATAAACGAATAAACAGCAGAAGACGTAGACACACAATGGTTACATGATGTATAACTTATAATCTTATGAATATATAACTTTTTTATGAGCAACATGAAATTCAATTTAACGAATACCTATTAGTAAGTAATTGTTATAGATTGTAATAGTTTTATTTTGTACAAACTTTTAGGTATAGTGCCAAAGAGTATCTGGTAAATAACCAGATTAAGTTGCCTACTATGTAAAAGGTTTATGGATAAAAATTAGATATATGCGACACTACGACATACAGATTACAAATCTTAAACTTAAAAATGATTATATAGTTTATTAGAAAGTTTTTCTAATCACTATATTGATTGCTATACGCGCAAATATAGATTTAAATATTGAGAATTATACACTAATCGTCTCACCTTTTAAAATTAATGATTATTCTTTAAGTGTATCAAACAATTATTAAATTTACCATAATATGTTCAAGTTCATTGAACATATTTATACATTATGAGAAGTGAATATAATGTATAAAAATAAAAACAAAAACAATTTTCTGCTGCTTATAGTTTTTTGTATTTTTGCGTACCTATTATAAAAATTTAATACGTACAACGCATTATTTTATTTATAAAAAAACAAATTGCAGTTAAGCAATTTGAATAAAGATTGTTCTATTTCCAAGAAATAAAGAAATACTTCAATAGCTTTTAATTGTATATATTTTAATATAAAGTTACATGAAATATTGTGTAGTAATATGTGTTATACACTTTAAGAAGAAATTTATTTGAACGTAACAGTAGAATTTATAAAATCTTATTTGAGTGTTTGAATTACATATTTATAATTTCAAATATCAATAGTTTTTTGACTAAATGCTCAATAGATTATAAAATTATTATTAAAAGAAAAATAAAGATTTGAAATAGTTTTTCATGAAATAATTTTAAAAAAATCAGTATTATTTTAATTATGTAACGATTGATGATAAATGTGTATTGCGTACTTCTAATTTATGTAGTCATAAAACATGACACATATTATTATTGCGTTCATATATAATTTATACCACAGCGTTTTTCGATTTATGTTAAAAAACTTAGTTACATCTTAATAAACAATGCAGTGTACAGTGCATGCCTATAGATCATTTTATCGTAGTATGTTATATTATGTACGTGTGATTGTATAATATCAATATATAATATACAGACCTCGCCTTTGTATGTAGGTATATATTAGAGACGATGAGCATAGCCGACAGCCCCCAGATAAATGTTATGTCGGTACTCGTGTTCTACTGGCCCAGGATATTTTCTAATTATTTTAAAGCTATGACACACAATTTAAAGTGCAAAACAAAAGAATCCAATTTTTTTGATGTTATATTACAATCTTAACAGTTTTTAATATTGTCCAAATTCCTTGAGGCATTATTTTACACGAAGCACTAATTTTCTTCTTCTATTGTACAACTAATATAATACCTACCTACCTATATTGAACATTATAGGTATTGTATACACATTTCCGTGGAACACGTGACGATATGGTGATGGAAAGTATGTAAAAAAAAATAAAAATACATAACATTCAAGATCTTTTCTGGGTGTCGGTAAGGATATTCAACACATTTCATTAGTTTTTTAGATGTATACGTTATAGATTTTTCATGATTTCATTATAGAGTACAAGAATTTCTAATGAAAAACAGTTATGAATATTAAATATGTTATACAGATAATAGATATGTGGTATAGTGGTAACTTTTTATATAAATATTACCTTAAATTCAGTGTAATCTTAAATTTGAATTATTCTCCAAAGTTAATATAATTCTTAGATAAATTCCTGCTTTTACTTTATGTTATTTATATTAGACATTTATACACATGCAGATGTTTCAATTAAAAAAATTAAGTAACATCAGTTATACCTATATTGTTTCCGATTTATGTATTATGTATGCAATATGTTATATTGTTATAAATAACTGATTAGTCATCTACTTATGTGCTACTGGAGTGTTCAGGAGTGTAGAAAATATCTTAGAATCTATATACATACCACAATCCATATGTTCATAGACCAGAACACGAGGCAGTTATTAATGGCACATTGATATATGCTAAATATTTGAAAATTAAAATAAGTATACCATAAAAATTTAAAAAATTTAATATTTATAGTTTGATTAAAAATTATGTTTAAAATACAAAAAAAACTATATGATTAATTTATTAATTAGTTACACTACAAAAATGCATTTTCAATATAATGTTGATGATAATTTATTACCATATATAATTATTAGGATAAATCAAAAATATTTGTGATCCATAGTGTTAATTTGGTATATTTGTGTAAAATTGCAATTATTTATAAATTAGCATACATATCAATAGTCATTCGTTTCAAAAGTATATAACATTTAGGTTTTTCCGATACACACTGCTATTGATATAGGCGCATGTAATAGTAATTTAAATGGGTACTTAATATAATATAAAGGAAGAATAAAATTAATATCATTGTCATTAGTGAGTGAAGAATGCGTGTTTAAGACGGTTGATTAATTAGTACATCATCAGTCGAGAATGTGAAAGAAACGTAGCACCCATAAAGTGCATTAGTGTTAGTACTATACTTTTACAATTGACAGCAAGAGAGACGAAGAAACTAGCCATTACGATAGATGCAGGATTGATTGCAAAATAATTAAAAAATATATCGCCAAACCGATCGTTGCGTTTATAATCGCATAAAATTTTAATAAATAGTAGATGGATCATTATCATTATATATTTTTACATACGTAATTGTTTTTATAAATTTTATGATTGGGAAAGAATGTTCACATTTACTGCGGAGTGCAGATTGTTTTAATCGCGAGCATTCTGGTCCGTACAAGCCCCCGCTGGGTCTCTTATGCCAGTGTGTTATCTCACAACATGTTTGGTCACTTTCTCGGTTGTCAGAAATGTACCCATTGAAATAAGTACATATTTAGTAGGTAGTATTTATTATCTCATTGACGTGCTAAGATTTATGCATGTTTACACTACCGGTATTTATAATTTCGCATTCATCTCCATTCAGAAGGTCGTTTAACAATAACAGAGATAAAAAACATTGCATTTAAAAAAAAGTAAATTTAAAAATTAATTTAATATTTTATAATCAATTCACGTATAAACGTGTATTTGTATGTATATCTATATCGAAGTAAATATTATATTAATATCTAGATAATATTTGAACACACGAATGATATTAATTTTTGAATGAAATATTTTTTTGGATTATCTACCAATAAATTTATTAAACATTACATAATTACTTTTTATACAGCTACATCGTAAATAATATTTTATTTAAAATGTCATGTTTGATTGGGCGTGAGAAAATATTATTAACCGAATAGTCAACCGTTAAGTATGATGCTATATAGGTAATACTTTCTAAGCTTTAGGGTAAGAATATAATATTAACTAAATATGTATACCTATATGGTAATATATGATATAATAACCGACTACATAATATAATATTATTGTGTGTCGTATGTGAATCTACTTACTATTGTTTATTTTAATATAATAGTATGTATTTGATTCAAATAAAATAGGTATATATTTTTAATTTACAAAATTATATATATTCATACATAAGAAACATACACATCAATATATTTTTTCATAATTACCTATAGTTTGTTTAATTTTCACATAACACTTTTAATTGTTCAACTTTTGCAAACATATAGTTTAATACGAGTACATTGTTTAACGACTAAGTGTAATAATGTTTGTATATACTTTATCCATTACCCATTTATGGAATGCTCTTTATGTTATTTTTTATTTAAAAAAGATTTTATGAATAAAAAAAATTGTTTAAGTAGGTATACAGTAATGTTATCTAACGTGTTCTTTTTTACCACGGTCCACAACAAATTTGTTACATTAATGGTTGTGTAGATATTGAATTCTAAAGAATTTCATTTCACATACTAAAATATAGGTGGGTTTATCTACGGCAGGTGTCGTGAAAAATCGTGTAGTGCATTTATGAAAAAAAAAATAAGAATGTATAGGCTTTACTGAATACCTTTAGAGTTAAAACCCGTTACATTATGTCCATTGTTATACAATGTTATTTTTCAGTTAACTGATAATGATTTTTATCATATTATATTAAGGTACTTACTGAAAAATATGTCTGTGAAAACTAGTTATTCAATTTGAAGTTCCAAATATTTCAATATTATATATTTGGTTTAATTTGATGAACGCATTTATTGACATTATCGAGTATTGACTAGATCACCTACAGCCTACTGTAAAAAAAAAAAAAATTGTAATATTCACAAGTCACAACAAGCAGCACACATACACGTATTTTTAATCTAAATATTTTTACTATAGTCATTTACTGTGACGAAATTATCATGGCAAAATTGTGCAAATGAGACTATATTATGAATTTTTGGTAGATGGCAATAATTATAAAAATAACTGATTAAATTTATTTTAATTTATTTGTGTTTATAAAATATTATAATATATAGTAATCAATATAATATCATATCTCATAACTTTTGATAAACAAAATAATAATTATAAAAATTTTTCAAAACTCATTGGTATATAGCCATCATTCATTTAGAACAAAAATCAAATGATAAACTGATTTTTATTTAAATATATAATTGAATTCTTATCCTACCATTTAATTAGATATATAATCAATTATACTTACCTACATATTATAATATATATAATACATATAACCTTACATATATTTTTAATTATTTATGTAACAAGAAAAAAAAATGTAATTTTAATATTAGCTTAAATTTGATTGAAAATCTATACATAATAAGCGTTTTGTATGTTATTGATAATATTAAATGTGTGCGTACATAAATAATTATTATACTAAACGTATTAAAATATAATACCTACTTATAATGCTATATGTATACGATTATTATTATTTTTTTTTTAATGCTGTAGAAAATTATTTCACATTGATTTATAATAATTAAATTATACTGAGTGTCCCTTGAAGAAAAGTTAATTACGATTTTTTTTTTTTTTTTTATTAGAAGAAATATAATCTGTATTAGCACTATTAATAAATCCTTGTTGGAGGTTTTATGTATTTTTGCAATTTATTAGTATTATTAATCTCAATCTCATTAAGATTATAAAGTATATTATTTGTATATTATACATTAAAATATTATGAAAAATAAGACACAATATATAATATACCTTTAAATGCCTAATATTTTATATAATCATTTTTTATCATAAATATATATATATATGTATATGTATATGAATAAAATGTATGATTTATTGAATATAAACCATAAGAAGTATTTAGAATTTTAAAATAGTATTGTATTTATATGGGTATTATGCGTATGTACATTATACACTCACTAGTTATTTTTCATCTATCACGAAATTATTCATACAGACTACTTAAGAGTGCTAAATCAACAATTGATGCTGCGTGTCTCGTGTACACGTATTCGCGCGGCCCACCGTGACAAGACATATTATCAGGCATGATGTAAACTGTAAACATACTGCAGTAAGTCCATCGGAGGTCTTTGGCCCTCACGTGTGTAAAGACCGACTAGTTTTATTATTATTATTATTATTATTATTTATAGTCAAAGCTATTCTCTTCCTTTTTTTTAAATATATTTTATTATTTTTTTCTTATTTTATAGGTATACACAGGAATACAGGACCATACAGGTGTTTTTACCTATGTATTATAAAGCGTGATGGACGGTGATCACTTCCGTCAAATTATAATGATACTTTATTTTTCATTTGTTGTCGCTACTGTATAATATATTTATATCTATATATATATATTATACTCGTACATTTTTTATATACGTATATCTTAAGCTAAGAATTTTTTATTTTATGTAAAAAATATGTTTAAATATGATTGTTATTTATGTATTTTATTTTTTTATAACAAAAAAGGTTAAGTTATAATGAAAATATGTATATTATTTTGTTTCATAATAATTAACAATTATAGTACTGTAATGCGTCTATACGATCGATCTCTTATTAGTCGTTATATTTATTTTAAAATATGATACATTTTTAAACTTTGGAAATATTTAACTTAAATTAAAAATCAACACAGCTTGGAACAATTAATTATGAAATTAAAATATACTAAAATCAATTTAGATAAATCAGAAGATAGAATAATATTGTTCTACCTGAGATATAGTACTAAATAAATAGCAGTGCACAGTAGTCCCAGAGGTTAGTGGCAATGTGGCGACGAGAAACAGCTTACATATAGAAGTTCTATAATTTAGAATAGTAGACTAGATCTTATGGACTTGCTTATCGTATTCACGCAAATCACATGTGGCGTGATCATAGATTTAGAATATTAATTTATGTAATATAATATGTATCTCAGTTTTTATTTATATTAAAAATACACACCTCTCTCAATTTTGCGTATATATAATATAATATAACTTTATAACTGTACTACATTATGGTTAGGTTATTATGGTGTATAATATATAGGTACGTCTACGTGTGTTAAGTTACTAAATATTTTAAATACTGGCATTATCAAAAATAAAAATATTTTATCTACCTATTAAAATATGATAAAGTTCAAATAGTTATTCAAAATTTAAAATTAGATAAATAAGTCTATATTATGATTTGAATTTTCAAAAAAGTTTTATGAAATATAAAACTGTTTATATAGTAGTCTTACACGTTTTACTGAGAAAATTTGTATTGGCAGGGGAATAAACAACCATGCAGGTAGTTGCGGACATCGTTGATAGAAGACAGGAACATCCATCGTACATGTATGTATCAGATAAACATCGTGAACACTATTACTACTGTCCCAAGAACGGGCAAAAACGTCGCAACTATTATTTTCTCCTTTGCAGGGCGACTGTTTAGCGATATGTTATTTTTTTGCGTATTTGTATCGAATACTATACGCGATCAAACCGGTTTGAAATGCATACCGCAAAAATAATAATATAAATAAAAACGTACAGAGAGTATCTACTTCATTCCACATAATATATCTTGTATACATATATAATATTTTATATTCTGTTTATGTTTCGATATATTTTTCAGTTAAGACTCGATCGCTTATAGCCTGAATCAAATTATGTTTTATATTTATACATTTTTACTGCCATTGTTTTCGATGATAAAAATCAATAAATGTAAGTCAATAATATTTTTTAAAAAATGGCCATATTTGCATACCTATTTATAGAATAATTTCAAATTTTAAACTCTTGTTTAAATCTATTATTATTCTTTTAACGTATATATTCAATAAAAAATTAACATTTAGATATTATTTTATAAAGTAAAATAGCCTCTGCTTAAAAACTTAAGTGCTTATTGTTATCAATATATTTTTCAATAATTGTGAAAGTCAATCATATTGGATTACAGGTCAACTATTAGTAATATAATGCAGAATACATACAATTAAAATTATAGTTTGTTATGTAAAATTAACACTTTTTCATTATTTAATAAGTATATTGTTTAAATAATTAGTATTATTATGATAACTGGACAGTTCTTAGCGGATTTTAAAAAGTCATATTTTAGAGTTGAATTGAATGAAAACTTGTTAACATAAAAATAATATTATATAAAAAAAAATAAAAATGTTTAGTAGGTAAGATTTTAATAAAATTTTACGTGGAAAATAAATTTTACTTTTAACTATAAAACATTTTTGTATCATAGAGTAGGTACTATATAAAGAAAGATTTCATAAAAATAAAAATTTGATCTAGTTCAATCATTAGTAGTATTACGCAAAATCTTATCACGTGAGGTTTAATAAATCCCAACACACTGATGAAGGGTTAATAATTTATACTAATGGCTAATGGCACTTCGTATGAATGGCGATATCTGTCTGTTAAATGGCACATGTACTATGAAAAAGATATTACATTATTACTATATAATGTTTTGTTATTTCTAAATGAATCAGCCCTGGAAACATGCAATAGATTGTATAATAAGAGTATATATTTTATCGTTGTGCCCGAATGGTATATAGTATATACGCGTTTATATAAAGGACGACGATTGCGGCCATCGTCCGGAATCAAGTCAATTAATTAAACACTCGTTGTATAGCGTACTATGCATATAAAATACAACTTATGAGCACTCAAGACACAGCCATCTATTTAGTTATAGTTATATATATTTTTCTCCTATTTCTTTAAGCCAACCACTGAATGGTCGATTGTAATTCAAATGTTAAAATTTGAAATTTTGTCACAAATACACAACGCATGTGTATATGAGTTATTGCTTATAAGTTGTAAATTAATATGTAAATATATCGTAGGATGGAATTGAAACGAAAAACATATGTAACACTAAGTATATGTTTAATATTATGCAATAGGTATTCCAAGTATTCAAGGGAAACGTTTAACTAATTAAATGTTAGTTAAAGATGACGAAGATAATTTCATCGAACAAAAAACGAAAGTCATCCAATTGATATTGAACAAGAATAAATGACGACTTCAGAACTAGTCTCAAAAATTATTTTTCTAGTTTATTATCAAGATCTATAAAATATAATAAACTAAAATAAAAGTTAAATTTTGGAGAACAAGTTTTATCAACACTTTAAGGAAAAAATACATAAAACTAAGAATTAAAAATATGAAAGTTATTTTATCAAATATAAATTATATTTAGATCCTATAATTAAATAACTGCAAAATACCATAAATATATACAGGGTAATTCTTTTTAAATTAAAAATAATATTTTTCTAAGAATTTCCAAGTAAAAATCAAATAATTTGAGTAAATAGTTTAATTAATTATTTATATTTAAAGTTTATAAGAGACAAATAGAGTGGGATCTCACAAAATGGTGTTCCAATGGTAATTCAATTATAATAATTTTATTATAAAACTTATAAGTTATAACTTTAACTAACTACTTCTTGGAAACTTCTCTTATAGTCCAGTAAACTCCAAATTATGATGAACAATAAAAATATTTTTAGACTAAATGATTAACTCTATATTGTTTGTATTAAATTACACCTTCAGATTATGAGATTTGAAGTTTGTATATTTTTATAATATATTAATCAAGTGTCAATTCTATCAACGAATAATATTAAATTAATCATAACTGGTATGTAGAAACACATTTGGATAGGATCCAATTATTTTGTAGGAATCTGTTAAGTATTCGTTTATTATTCTTACGTTTCTCGATTAATTTAGTTTAGTTTTAAAATTTTAACAATTAAATTAAAAGTTTGTAATAATGCTGGCGGAACAACGAGTCATTTTTATTATAAAATATATTAATTTACGTATATACATATAATTCAAACACATAATGTGTTATCTACTATTGAAATCATGTTAGGTTAAGTACAGGTGCTCCTATATCTGTTATTATTTATAATGAAACAACAATTATTTTTAATTGATTGAGAAATCGGATGTAATAAATATTGTTAGGGCTAAAATTATCAAAATACCGTTACTTTATACTTAAAATAAATTATATGATGTAGGTAACTAGCTAAATATTACTAAATGCATATTTAATGCATTATATCAGATGTGAGATGAAGATCATGAACGAAATTAATTTTCAATATGGTCTTTCAACCGTATTGTCATCAAAGTGGTTTAATTTTACTCGATATAACGCAGATTACAGGTAAGAAGGAAATCATTTTTCGTAAAATTCGCAGCAGGTATTTCAAGATCGATTGTGTTGTACGTAACTGCGGTACATTTCTCAAAGGGCAACACACCCGCGCGTCGCGCTCTCATTATGAATTCTGCTCTTGCCCGTTTCTGACCAACAATGGTTCATTCCCCAGGACATGTACGATCACGGAGACCTTCCTGTTTACTATGTGTAATAAATATTTTACTATCGTTCGCATCCCAATTGACGTGCTCGGTAAATAACGAAATCACAATTGGTACGTGGAGGGAAAAAACTCAGGTTTATATAATATACGTGTGTATGCATTTAGTTTATATATTAATATCGTCACTACAATGGTAGACCAGTGTTGAATGGACAATATGGATAAAATATAGCACCAAGCAGTTAAGTCACGCCGAAAAATGTTTTATATTAACCAACTAAAAATCAATAGGTAATATATTCATTATGGTGTATTCATTTTTAATATATACCTACCATTAATATTTACCATACTTTTCCTATTTTAATCAATTTAAATTAGTTTTAAAAAATCTTTATCTAAGGTATTAGTTTTCATACATTTTTAGGGATTACTCATTATTATTAACTAACATATTTTGTTTTGATGCAGATACTTTTAATATAAGGTAAAATGTAACTATTTTTCATTCATTTTAAATAATATACTTATATATATATATATATACATAATTATTAAGTATAATATTATAGTGTAGCGTGTAGCTTGAATATAAGTAATTTATAGCTTATCACTCAAATAATATTTTATTAAAAATTATGTTTAGATGTGATAAATTCGATCACTGATATTAGATACTAGTAAAAAAAAAGGTTGATATAATATCAAATGAGAACTTTTTAATTAATAATAAGAGTTATTATAGAACCTACGTATTTTAAATTTAAAACTTAAATTTGTAAAACAATAAATACCTAATTTTAATATAATTAATTGCTTTAGTATTAAAATTTAATGAAGTATGTAAGTACACACACAATATGTTTAAAAAAATGTTTAAATATAATTGTATAATTATATATTATACACAATTCTATGTTCCAGGAACGTTTTACGTGGCATTACAATTTTATATTGTTTTACACATAAATCTAACTTGAAATTGTAGAACTTGCTGGTTTATTTTAGCTATATAGTAGCCAGTTATTAACAATATTAAAAAATATGACTATTGATATTTTATATTCAAATATTTATATGACCTAAATTAATTTAAAGAAGTCATAACCGATTACATAAAAAACTAAAAGATAATAATAAACAGCTGAAATTAATTTGCTTTAATAATCGACTATATTATTTCAATTGTATATTAAAATACCTATCTTTCATTTGACATCATTATATCATTATTAAATATCAACATCAGAGTATTATTTTATCATTATTTTTATTATTAGACTAAATATTTAAGTTTGTCACCAGGATGTGCAATAAGAATAACATTTAAGTAATAATTTATATGTTAATTGTATTTAAGTTATATATTTTAAGAATAATTTTTTAAGTCAAAATCACACGAATTATGAAAATTTTTATTTTTTTATTATATAATTATAGATTAAATTGCATCGCTAGTTAGCAATGCACTTCTAAATAACTTAAATTATTTTTAAAAATTAAAATTATATATACCGATTTTAGCATAATAAGAAAAATATTAAAAGTATTTACCCAGTGCATGATAGAGACATCCAGCATTGGATCTTCAAATCAATCTAAAAAAAAAAGATAGCAAGTATATTATTGTGATGATATAAATAATAATATATCAAACAAGTTAATTCAATTTAAATTAACAGTTATGCAACTAAAAAAAAATCTAAGAAAAAAACTTGAAAATATGTAGATCAACAGGTTACATTTATTTAGTTGTAGTTTGTAGAAATATAGAAATATATAATCAAGTATTAGACCTGGATTAACAGGCTCATTTGTAATGATATATATTTAACTGGAGTATAATATGTACTTTATCATCATACATGTTTTAACGTAAAACATTGACACCTTTAATTAATATATTTATGAAAACAGTGGTGTAGCCAATAATATACCATTTACGTATACTGTATATACCGCACATATATTATTCGTATAAAAGAAGTGTAATAAATGATAAATTACTTATAAAATTACAGTGTACTTAAGCTTGTTACCAATATGTTATATATTTCAAAGTTTGTGATTGTATAACAACTTAAGATTATCGACGATGATAATCATTTTAATGGTATGAAACATATTTTAAGATATTGTAATCGCTATCTGTTGTATATATAGTTGCAATATTTAGGTATCAATTGTATAATTTAATATCATTTAAAAGACATTTAATAATTTAATTAATCTAGATTTGTGTTATTTTAATACGTTATACAATATACCTTTTGTAATCATAATATCTCATTATTTTATTATTTTATTTTTTTTTTTTATTGCAGTTCGGTTTTGTCCGTTATCCCGCATTCACATATACATGTGTGGATGAAGTAACATAGATGTATTCATTATACTATATATTATAAAGAATATGCTGGCGGAAACAAATACCTGTTAAAACGATTTATGTATAACATGTTTATGGAGTACCTATGTAAATAATATAAGGGTTATTAAGGGAATAAAAAAAAATTAATCACATTATGCAAGAAGTTATATTTTTACAATGATAAGTAAACATATTATAAATAAATTGATATTTCACAATTTACTATATAATTTTTACATAGGTGTTTATACTTTGTATTTAACTATGAAGGCATGAAGTCTATAGTAAAGATTTGTTTTAGTACTCGTGAAATGTAAGCTTATAATCTATCTTTATACAACTATAGGTTAGGTACTTGGTAATTTTTAACAGCTATCTATATGTTTTTATATAGATAAACCTAATTTTGGTATACAACTATTGAAAGAATAATAATATTTAGAAATTTAGAAAAAAGTTCAAGCTATAATTTTAAAACCAATATTGTAAATTTTGAATAGGCACTTTTATTTAATATTATATGTTATTTTAAATTTTAACCTATTTCATTGATTTTAAAATAATTAGAATAATAACCGTTTTTCTATTAGGTAAATAAAAAAAATTATCTATAGTAAAAAGTAAAAAGTAGGTATGTTTGGGAATCATTGTGACCTATGGCAAATAATTGAAAGGGGGCCTACAAACTCATGCACCCTCAAATCACGATGGGGCGAAAAACCGTTACAAACTCATACACTATATATAATATATATGATGGTAAACCATTTACGCGGCAACGGAGTTGTGTTTCACTTCCGATTATAAAATAGAGAGGGGAGATATTATATTATATATTATAAAAATTTAACACATCAAATTCAATAATACTATTTTAATAATTAGGTGATTTTAACGCTGGATTCGAATATAATATAATATGATACATGATTTATAGTAAATAACTACATGAAAATAAAAATAAATACATTTACGACCATCCAAATAAACATAATTATTATATTTATAATATATAAAGAGTAAATAATTATAAATTTATCTATTTAATTAAATAATGATTAAATATAATTTTAAATTAACTACTAAGATTAGATAAACACATATAGTTGATTTTTTTAATCTCATTTTAAGAAATATAATGGATATAATTAATTTCCATAGCATATATCTATAAAAATAAGTAAATATTTAAATATAAATCATATATATAATATGTTACATGACGTACATTTTATTAAAAAATCTTTTATAAATACTGATTGTACACATATTAATTATGTGATCAAAAAATATGGTAATTTATGAAATGTAAAAAGTATAAACCCGTTAATGCTTAAAGATAATACACAATAAAATAAATATAATTTCTTATGAAAGCCGAAAGAATGAAATAAATAATAACATTCAGTTGACAATTATTATATTTTTATCAATTATTTTGATTGTGTAAAATTAAATAAATAATTTCAGTAAAAATAGATAACATTTAATAAAAATTACAATATTGACAGACTACAGTTATCCTCGTTCACATATATCATATTTATCTATTAAACGATAAGAAACAGACATTGACATAATGACATGTAATTGTATATGAAATATATCTATTGTGTTTACGTTTGTTAACTCGACAAAATCAGAATCGATTGTGTTTGAAATCAAAATAAACGTATGCGTGTTTACAATATTATAATTTGAACGGTCACCCACGCCGCACTAATACAAAAAAAAAAAAAAAAAAAAAAAAAAAAAAAAAAAGGGGAAAAAGAAAAGAAAAAACCTCTCTTGCGGTGTGGTGTTGGCGAATTTCGAAATCTATATACGTTTACATGCAGCATGTTGCGTTCAACTGCAGAACGTCGACTTTACTGACGGTTGTCCGCAACACAACGTACCTAATTTTATCAAGTATTTAATCCTCAAAAATGAATTAACTGCCACCGTATGCGTGGATACAGAACGTTAAGTACACGCGACCGCGCATCTGTCGGATCTCTCCGGTGGTTTCAAGAGACCACGAACCCGATCTACCGAAGCGCGTACAACGACTGCATAATAAATTATACTCGTATAACGTAGTGCGTACTACGTACGATAACAATAATAATATAATAGCACATATGCGCGTACGTTTTGATCTCCGTCTAGCGTAACCGTATGGGCCTGCAACAGACGCGACGGCAACGCGCGTGGCCCCAACGGCAGCAGCCGGCGAGTCTCCGCACGCGCCAAACTGCAGTACATAATAATAATATTTTACGCGTATATGTATAGGTATAACGTACACGCATAATAGTAATACGTACGCGTCGCGGTCGTCCTAGTCATCATCGTATTAATACAATTTTTTTTTCTCCTACGGTCCAGTGACGTTCCCGCGCGAACGGTCTGCAAGTATTATATATTTATATGAACATATTATATAGAGTGAGTCACTCCATGCGTATACGACGCGTCGAGTGTGTAAACCGTGTAATTTGCTATCCCAGTGTGTGCGTGTGTGTGTGCGTGTGAGTGTAGTGTGTACATTATAACGTTCGTGTATATCGTATTATTATTATGTGTGTGGGCGCGTGTGTGTTGTGCATGAGTGGTGTAAGCCGTTTTGACGTTAAAGGTACTTGCCCACTTGGGGACTTAGGGCGTCTCGTCCTCGCGTTCGCGGTCAAAATATACCCATGCGAGCAGGGTGTGAACCCGGAGAGTTTTTACTTTTCGTCGTTGCGTATAACAAGCACAACAGTTTTCGTTCGGCATAACGTATAATATATACATATATATATATATATATATAGGTATTCGAAAAAACGGACGTTTTCCGTTCAGTATAATGAATGCGTCATAAAACATAAAATGATTCAATAACTATATAATTGTTATTTTTTCTACAGCATATTATAATTATTACCTATAGTTAAGTACTTCAGCATACCTACAGTGCAAATATACTAAAGTGAAATATTAAAACTCATTCAAAATTCTGTAAATTATAATTTAAAAAAATATGTAATAACGTGTTATCAAAACTTTGATTAAAAAAAATTTAATTCAATACGATTAACTATTATACTATATCAAAATATAGTTATTTATTTAAATTTAAGAATCTGTTGTACCTATTTATTATTATATATAGATTAAGAATAGTGTATGAACATGTTTTTACCTTGTACACACTGAATCACATTTTGGAATGTGTTATTATTCGCGATATCTCGGACGTTGAGTCATCTGTTATTTTTCATTGCTATTTGCTATTATAATGCATACAAGGTAACTATGTATCTACTACCTATTATAACATTAGGTGCAAAATTACTATTATATATAAATAGTCTATAGACACATCACTACATATTTTTTTAACCAATAACATAGATTTAAACACTTCCTACTCACTATGATTTTTATAAAATTATATTTTTGCAGTTAACGTAATTGAGTAAATAACATATGTTAAACAAATAAACAAATCCTACATACGTGCAATGTACTTATAAAATAGTTTCATGATTTAAATCTTAAAAATCTAATAATTTACTTAAATAAACCATTAAAAATACAACGCAGATTTATAAATTCAATCTTATTTTGAAGTTAAATATTTATTAAAATCAATAAAATGTTATAAGACTTATTAAACACATAATTTATGCTAATTATTCATTTATTATGTAAATGTTATACTGTTATAGTAACTTATGTTGAACATTTATTAACCAAATATGAAAGCTTAACGATAAATGATAATAATATAAACAAAAACAAATTAAGAATATTACATATTATTTAATTGTAGTTATAAAATTAATTATTACCACTTAACCGTCAAGTAACACTATTGTGTTTTAATTGATCATCTAAATATCGTTTAGTAATGACCAATTAATGTAAAATTGATTTTACACAATATTATACTATATTATATAGTTTACCGCACTATATAGTGAGATTTTACATATCTATTCAAAGAGTTAAAAACATAAAGATCATTTATCGAACGTTCAACTTTGTTAATAATTCTTTTTCAAGAATATTTTACTAATGATCATATACATTTCCCATATAAACCATTTACGATTGATCAATTTAATGGTATGATGCCAAAAAAAAAACCAACGAACTACTTCAACAGCTTGAGTAAACTAACCATTGGTATTACACTTCTATTATTATTCAAAATTAAAAATGTGGAGTAGTTATGAGGTTTATTTAGACATGGTG